CGTGTTTTTAGCTTGTAGTCCCTCTAGAGGTCACAATTATTATCCGATTAAAAAAAAACGTTTGAATATATCACTGTTACACCGTAATGTCAATTGAGTTCCAATTTCGTGAAAATCAGACCAAAACTACCCAACAAAATGGCCGCCCCTCGTACGCAGCTAGTGTAAAAATATGGTATATCAAGGTTGTGGACCCTCTAGAGATCACAATTTTAATCAGATTTTGCTGAAATTTGAAATTCATGTTTATGTCCCAAAGATCTTGGTTCCTTTTGATATTTGCGCGTATTGGATCGTAGCTTCCTGAATTATGGCCCATGATTGTACACAAAATCGCGTTTTTAGCTTGTGGTTTCTCTAGAGGTCACAATCATTATCCGATTTAAAAAACTTTCAGATATATCACAGTAATGTCAGTTGAGTTCGAATTTCATAAAGATCGGACCATAATTGCCGGACAAAATGGACGTCCCTCGTACGTAAATAGTGCAAAAAATATGGTATATATAAATCAAAGTTGTGGTCCCTCTAAAGGCGTCAATTTTGATCAAATTTTGATGAAACTTTAAATTTATGTTTAAATCACAAAGAACTTGGTTCCTTTCGATAATCGCACATATCCGAATGTAACTTCCAGAATTATGGCCCCTGATTGTTTCGAAATAAATCTCATTTTTAGCTTGTGAACCTGCTAGATGTCACAATTTGTATTCAATTTTAAAAATCATTTAAATATATCACTGTTACACATCAATGAAGGTTGAGTTCGAATTTCGTAAAAATCTGAACAGACAAAATGGCCACTCCTTGTACGCAAATACTGTAAAAGTATGTACATGTAATACCACGGTTGTAGACACTCTAGAAGTCATAATTTTTATCCGATTTTGATGAAACTTGAAATGTATGTTAATAACTTCCTGGATTATGGCCCTTGATTGTACGAAAAATCACGTTTTTAGCATGTGGTCCATCTAGAGGTTACAATTTTTATCTGAATTTTAAAAAATGTTTAAATGAATCACCGTTACACTCTAATGATGGTTGAGTTCGAATTTCTTGAAAATGCCCCACAAAATGGCTGTTACTGGTTTTCAATTTGTGTACAAGTATGTAATATGAAGGTTGAGGATATTTGTCCGATTTTGATCAAACTTAAAATATATCTTTATATCCCAAAGATCTCAGTCCCTTTCGATATTTGCACATTTCATACCATAACTTCTTGGATTATGGCCCCTGATTGTACAAAAAGTTGTGTTTTGTTTTTTTTAGCTTGTACTCTATCCATCTCTTGCAAAATGTGGGCGTATTTTGCCTGGCAGCCGCTGGTTATATCTTTGAATAATTAGATGTCCATATATATATATATGTAGAAGAAATACAAACTTACAGGGTTTTTTTATAGTATGGCTGTCACAAAGTCCTCAAGTCCTCCGGGAATAAACATGTCTATATACTTGACAATGTTAAAGTAGTAAATGACCATTGCAATTATGAAATTACTCAACAATTGAACAGTCGCATTCTTTATTGGGATACATAACCCATTCAGTCAAATGTATTGATCATTTCCAAACAGGTGAATATTTTTAGTTGTACATTTCAGAGAAGGTGTTGAAGTTATTTCTTCCCATTTTGTCATATGATTTGCATATATCAGGCCATTTTTATACACCCACATTGAAATGTGGTCATATATTGTCGTCGCCACTGTCTGTCTGGCTTCCACAATTGGTTGTGTATGCTCTAGAGGCTAAAGTCAATATTTGATTGACTTTAAATTCGTACAGTGTTTAAGGTCATGAGACGAAGAAGCCTATTGATTTTTAATGATTCCCACCTGAATGATGGCCCTTGATTACTATCTTGTAAAATCTTGTGGCCACGTTAGAGACCAAAGTTAGAAACTCTAAGGGTCATTCCATGTCAAGTGGGTCAATTTTCAGAAATTTGGGAAATCGACCCCCTCGAAAAAATCTGGAAAAAATATATGTTATTGTACATCTAAAAACTGTGTAAAATTTGTGGTCTGTAGCTTGAAAATTGACTGAGATACGGGCATTTGAATTAAATGAGTTATCGAAAAGTTTTCGAAACAAAATATGTATCAATAATTCACTCGAGTTTCAGATGTCTTATTTTTACCATTCTAGTGAAGGTAAATCCTGTCAAATTTGGCAGTCTTAAAGAACTTTTTGTGTAGATTACGAATTTGCAATCAGATTACAGGTGGCCTATCCAGAGATTGCCGGTACTACTACATAAGAAACACATGAAAACTCATCAGTCTTCACTAGATTCCCAGAAAATTGGCCTCGAATATGGTTTCAGACACAAATTTTCGAAAATTGCCTCTATTTTCGAACCAAAAGAACCCGGTTGATGTACACCTAAAAATCTTAAACTTGGTGTAATTATAGTTTGTACTAATGTCTCCAACATATGTTAACGCCATTCTTGTCCCTTGTCATCTCAATATTTTCTCGGTTTTTTTTTTCAAAATCTGTGTTTTGGGTCATTCCATGTCAATTATCACCCAATGAGTTAAAGGAGCTAAATCACGAATATTTGGGACCTACAAATTGACACAAATGGGTCGCAAGGTATATAATAATGTAATAGGAATGTAAATAAACTGATTTACATTCAATCGTTTCCGTTTTTACTCTAATTTCAAAGCAGTTATGTTCGGCGAAATACACCAGAAGTCTCAATCGAATGGCAATCTCTAGCATCTGGTTATTCCAGTCTACACCGATAGTATTTATTGCGCATGCTCTCCAGATAAGAATATGTGGTCACCGTTTGACATGACTTGTGGAATATTTCTAACCTCGTTCTTCGAGTCACTTGTTACAAATTGCGCTGAAACGCATTATGGTACACGATTCGTGTACCAATGGTAAAATGTTTATTTTGTCTTAAATATTGGATATCAGAAGCCCATCTTTTCCCGGTAAGATCACAGCACCAATGTTGATTAAAATTGACAACTAATTCGTGTTTTCAATGTCAAAGGTTTTGGAAGATACTGAGTTAGAGACTTAGCTACTTTAAACTGTACCCCCTTCGATTTTGCTGAAATTTGGTTTCTATGCTTATAAGGGCTAAAAAGGCTGATATTTAAAATTTTAGTTTGATCCGACTAACGATTTTGGAGATACGGTCCACCCAATTTTGGGGATTTCAGCCAAAATGGACGTGGCCGATATTATTCAAATGACCATAACCCAGTATCCAATAAGTCAAGTATTTCTAGAATGGGAAAGAGGATGCCTTGCTATTTGAATCATAGTTATCTATCTTCAGCTTATCTATGATCCTGCTTTAAGTGCAAAGACACTGATTTTCAGCCTCAAATGTGAATATTTAACTTGATTTTACATGCTTATAAAAGATATTATACTTACAATTCTTTGTTTGACATTGTGTAGAAAACATGTAGAGCTAAATTTTTCTTGAAATTTCATTTCAAGGTCAAATTTAAAGTCAAAAGGTCTTCACTTCTTAAAACACCCCTGGATGTCAAAAATAAGTGTAGACTTAGAATCCTTGTGGAATTCCCATTCCAGAAATACTTATCTAAGCAATTTTGACCTATTAGTTATTGGGTTATGATCATTTAAACAATGGCGGCCACACCCATTTTGGCCCAAAACACATATTTTGAAAAAGCGAACAATTATTGAGATGGCATGGGACAAGAATGGTTTTAACATATGTTAGGGGCATTAGTACAAACTATAATTCTACCAAGTTTCAGATTTTTAGGTGCTTATCTACCGGGTTCGATCGACTCAAAAATACGATAATTGACATAGTTTGAGCCAAAACACAGATTTTGAAAAAATCGAAAAAATATCAAGATGGCATGGGACAAGAATGGTTTTAACATATATTGGAGACATTAGTACAAACTACACTTGCACCAAGTTTCAGATTTTTAGGTGCTCATCTACCGGGTTCTTTCGGCTTGAAAATATGAGGCAATTTTCGAAAACATATTCGAGGCCAATTTTCTGGTAATCTAGTGAAGACTGATGTGTTTTCATATATTTCTTATGTAGAACCACCGGCAATCTCTGGATAGGCCAAAATTTGGGTCTATATCTATTACTTTGTAGCTCCTGGAGCACTACAAAATCCAGAAAATATACAATTACACAAAATGTTTTTCGGTTTTCAAGGCCAGGTAGCATGCGAACCCTACCACTCACCTGTAATCTGATTGCAAATTCGTAATCTACACGATTGGAGCTGTATATCTACACTATAAAGGTCAAAATAAGATTTCTGGAACTCAAGTAAATTATTGATAGATATTTTGTTTTGAAAACTTATCGGTAACTCATGAAACTCAAATGCCCGTATCTCAGTCAATTTTCAAGCTACAGACCACAAATTTTGCACGGTTTCTAGTTTTTACATGTACAATAACATATATTTTTTCCATATTTTTTCGAGGAGGTCATTTTCCCACCCCTGGCCCACTTGACATGGAATGACCCCTAAATTAATGCACATGAGAGGTAGAAGCCTATTAATTTTCAACAATTTCCGATATTGATTGCTAGAGTTATGTATATTGATCACTTTGAAAAATATTGTGAACACTCTAGAGACCAATGTGTTAGCATTTAAATTTTTACACAGTGTTTAAAGTCGCAAGATGAAGAATCCTATTGAATTTCAACGATTTCTGATAATTATTGCCAGAATTATGACCCTTGATCTTGTGGACGCTTTAAAGGCTAAATTTATACAGTGTTTAAGCAGTTTAAGGTCATGAGATGAAGAATCCTATTGATTTTCAATAATTTGTGATAATTTCTTAATGGGTTGTTACTAGTCTTAACCAGATTTTAATGTGTTGTAAATGTTTTCATTACTGACAAAAGAAAAAAAAAATTGACAACCCTTGTTGACACCCAGACGACTGAGCTGCTGTGGTCGTATGTTTCGTTGTCTGGTAACCTATCTTGTTATGTCTGTTTTAGCAACAGAAAAAGACAAAGAGGAACTGAATGATGAAATTAAAAGGCTTAAAGAAAAGATAGAATATGAAATGCAGCCTAATATAGCTTTTGAAAAAGAAAATGAAGAATTACAGCAAAAGGTTCGTCAAATTTTTTTTTAATGTATAGAGATGACACCAAATATTTCTGAGCTATTTTCTTAAATGGACAAATTATTCTTCCTGCCATATGTTATTAATTGTGTAGACCTGTTTATTACTTTTTTGTCTATTTCTGGATATAAGTACTTCCAGGGCTCACACTGGCTTTCAATTTTTTTCTGCCAAAATTGATGATAATTTTTATATAAAAAAATGTTCATATTTGTTTTCCCGCCAATTGGAATATTTTATCTGCCAAAAATGTTTGATAAAAAAGATAACATCTAACAATTTCATGTCTCAGCTAGGCTTATTAATATTATAAAAACAATTACCGATATATAAAATACAATATACAACAAATTTAAAAATCTTTCTGTATATATACATTAGCGCAGTTTGGATTTAATAAGTTCAGATTTTTTTGGGGTGACTTTAGTTTATTTGAACACCGTACTGCACAATATATTTTCAGTATTTACACGTCAGATCTCATTCAAGGATTGCCAATTTTCTATAAATTTATGTGTTGTGTGTACAATAGGCCTACAGTTATTTTCAGAATCTGAATCCCTGATAGAATGATATAAATTTCAATTATATTTGTAAGACATGCTTACAATTATAAAGATAACATCTAACAATTTCATGTCTCAGCTAGGCTTATTAATATTATAAAAACAATTACCGATATATAAAATACAATATACAACAAATTTAAAAATCTTTCTGTATATATACATTAGCGCAGTTTGGATTTCATAAGATCAGATTTTTTGGGGGTGACTTTAGTTTATTTGAACACCGTACTGCACAATATATTTTCAGTATTTACACGTCAGATCTCATTCAAGGATTGCCAATTTTCTATAAATTTATGTGTTGTGTGTACAATAGGCCTACAGTTATTTTCAGAATCTGAATCCCCGATAGAATGATATAAATTTCAATTATATTTGTAAGACATGCTTACAATTATACCTGTCGTTCACCTTTAGATCATTTTGGCGACGGTAATATGATATGTCATATGGCGAAATGATTTCTCGCTCAAGAATCGTCGCTATTGAACTCGTTCTTACGTTTTCGACCAGTGGTGATAATATACTTTGAAACAATGGTATCCTATCGGCATGCTTGTATATCTTATATGCCGTATATGAAGCCACAGTTCAACTATCAAAATATTTAATTCTCTTCGAAAGGAACTGTTGGCCATTTGGATTACGTATTACCATTTTTTAAAGACGAAACATAACATCAAATAATCACCGCTTGGATTAATCATTAGGAGTAAATAATGACTTGAAATAGGCTTTATATATACATCATTGGCAATTATCAATCAACTAATCATTAATTCAAGACAACTGATTAGTATTACTCATTGACGTAATCCGGATTATCAGCTAGTTGATTATAGTATTCCACCACGTGATTGACACTCAATTAATCGTTAATCCAGGATACATACGATTTGAATTTTAAGATTTTTTTCCGCCAGTTCTCAAAAAGAATCGCCAGTATTGCAAAACATTATCACCAAAATTATTGCCAAAATCAAATTTTAATCGCCACTTTCATATTTTTATCGCAAATTGCGACTTTGGCGACCGACAGTGTGAGCCCTAAGTTCTTCTAAATGAATGTCTCCTAACCTGTTCATTTGGAAATTAGCCATTGATTTAAATTTGTGCTAACTATTTGCTAAATAGGATGATGATAACCATCTGTAAAACCTCTTAAAGGAGCTAAATTTCTAACTCAGTATTATCCATAATATTGGAAACTAAAGACACAAGTTAGAATTCAATATTGGTGTTGTTATCTTACCGTGAAAATATGTGATACTAATATCCAATATATAAGACACAATGAACATTTTAAAATCACTACACGAGTCTAAACTCTACTGTTTCGGGTGTCATTTGTAATGAACAAAGAAAAACATACCCTACAAGACAATACAGAAGTAATCAGTAATGGCTGATTCACAAACGACAAAATAATAAAAAAACGTAAAGCAGGTGTAAACGACTGCCGTTCAATTTGGACTGTTCACATATTTCACTGAACATAATTGATCAGAAGTTATTATAATTTAAAAAATTGAATAGAAAGCACTTTATATACATTCATGTTATATTATTCTGTACTTTTAGACCCATTTTCGTCTATTATAAGGTTTGATACGTCCTTTAAGCTTGTGAGATGTTATTGTCGTCATATCAGAAATATAAATGATGATCTCTATTATAATTTATATTGTAGATACAAGAACTACAGCAAAAATTATGCCTGTCCACTGACAACGAAGAACTTCAAAAAGAGAAAATACTTAGTCTAAATGCCGATTTAGAAGACATTACAATTAAACAAGATGATCTTATCAAAGATCTGGAAACCAAATCACAGGAGTTACGATTAGCTGCTGAAACTAAGGTAAACAGTGGTTTGATGGAATTTAAATCTGATACTGCTTACTGCTTATACCATACAAAAACAATATTCCGGCCCAGCTCTCAGGCAATCCTTACCAAAAATATAGTGCGGGAGGGAAATTTTTTATTTTTGTGTTTTTATTTTGTCAAGGGATCAATACTGGACTAAATGACTTCTCATAATGTCACATTACAAGGCACTACATTTATTTCATCAATCATGTTGTTTATAGGAATGTATGATTATATACTTGATAAATGAGACTACGGCACATTTTGGGATTCATTCAAAAACTTTTACAGAGTTGCTTACTGTAAATAGGGTAAAATATTTACGTGCAGTGATTAATGAGACTTCTTTGATTTTTTATTTTGATATAAAAACTTGTTAAGCAGCCCTGTTTAAGTGACTAGGGGTGGTCTGAGAATCAGAATATTTTCTTTTGTATGGTCTTTGTGCTTGTAGTTGTAACATCATTCTTTACTTCAATGCATGTAATTAACAAACTAAGCTAATTGAACTAACCTAACTTTTTATTTATTTTAATTGGGCGCTATATTTGAAATTTGTCCTATTTAAAGTTGTGTTCAAATGAATCATTAATTAGACATTTATTTACATGCCATGCCCATAATCAACTCTCCAGACCATCGGATGGTTTTGGTTTTCAACGAATTTAAACACGATTGACAGTTAATAATTTAATTGAAAAATGGATAATTGAGACTTATTATCGTAGCAAAGGTAGCAATGACAATCAAGACTACGCTGTTCTTCAAACGGCCATATTCCCTTTTCATTATCTACTTTTTAACTATAATAGCGAGAACTGCCAGATCTTTTTCTAAATCTTACACAATGCATCTTTAAAATGATACCATTAATTCTAGTACATTTTCTTTACATATATATTAAAATATCCTTATTGATATGTTTCAACATAGTTGTTTCAATAGATTTATTTTATGTTTTCTTGAATAATAAAGATATTCCCTCAGAACTAACCTGAAGTATAACCTACATGTCTGATACTAATAATTTTGCAACTGTGATTCCTATAAAGACAATTTAATACCAACTGATAGTGTTTTTCCAATGTATTCAACTTAGTAACAAAGTGTATACTTTGTCAGTATAGAGATTTTTGAGTCCAATCAATAAAATATTTATGAATCACAGTACATGGGGTAGCTTTACATATTACACTGGTAAAACATGGTGTTAGGGTCAATTATTTTGTTTTTCAAAACTTTTGAGCACTTGGTTCTTATTTCAGAATTTTGTAAATTTTGCTACAAATGAGTAAAATATTAAATTTCGAAAATTTTGCTGCTTAATTTCAACATGTTTTAAGCAGCATACAAACTGTCAGTTTTCTTATTTGGTAATTAATTGGAAAAAAAAATCTGCATATGTACAACCAGTGTAAACACAAGAATTGTAAAGCTAGACCAGTATAGACCCAGAAGATGATGCAAATAAAAACTGATTGACGGTCTTTCTGTCTTACAGTCTCTGATTGACCAAGAACTGGGCACAACCAAACAGAAACAAGAAATTCTTGACCAACAGCTAAAGAATTACCAAGCTGAACTTCAAGCTGCCAGGAAGGAATGTGAAGAACAACGACAGCAGTATGAATTGGTTGAGCAAAATTTAAAATCCGAAAAAGACAATTTACACATAGAAATTAAAGATATACTTGGCAAGAATGAAGTTTTAGATGGAGATGTTCACTTCCATTCTCAAGATGCTGACCAGAAACAATTGAAAATAAAGGAATTACAAAATATAATTACCACAAAAGATGAGGAAATAGAACATTTTCAAATTTCATTAAAAGAAAAATCAAACTCTATCACAGAACTAGATCTCCTTGTGAAAAAATTATCCAGAGATTTAGATATTGCTAAAGAGGGTCAAAGTGAAAAAGGTGCTGAGTTTGAACAGAAATCCCAATCCTTAGTATCACAGATATCTGAGCTAGAGTCTGAGTTAGTCAATCAACAAAAGTCTTATTTAGGTTTACAAGAGGATTTAACTAAACTACAATCCGAGCTTCAGTCAACCAAATCTGAGTCTCAAAATTTCAAATTATTATCTAGTGAAAAAGACAATGAAATTTCCTCTTTGAAGTTACAGCTTGAAATTCTTTCGGATCATGAAAAATCCACACTTGACCAAATGAAAAATGAAAAAGACAATCAACAGCAAATAGAAAATGAAAACACCAGGTTGAAGTCAGAAATCAAACGACTTGAATCTGAACTTAATGAGTCACAAAATCTTAGTGTAAATTTAAGTGCAAAATGTGATGAATTAACTCATTTGTGTGAAACTCAAAATAAAACTGTAACTGAATTAACTAATGAATTATCTGGGGTTAAAAGTGTATGTAGTGATAGTGAAAGTGCCCTTCACGACTTAAAACTGAAATTGGAGGAATACAAACTTTCTGTGAAAAATAAGGAAACTGAAATCATATCAGTTTCTAAAAATCATCTTTCAGAAACCACACAGTTGCAATCTCAAAACGAATCATTACAAATTGACTTTTCTAACCTCCAAAGACAATTTGATAGTGAAGTGAGGGACTTAAATATTCAGCTTAGTGAAAAAGAGCAAATCTTAAATCAGTTATCAGCTTCTGTGGACTCTGAATCTTCAGTGACTAAAACTTTACTGGAAGAAAAAGATTCTAAAATCCAAACACTATCTGAAGAACTTAAACAAGGATGTGTGTACAGCGACTCTCTTTCCCAAAGTGTTGAAAAATTGGAAGCTGTTATTTCATCTAGTCAGACTGATCTACGTGAAAAGTCAGATTTGTGTTCAGAAAAGGACAGTCAAATTCTGATTCTTAATGCAGATATCCAAGAGTCTATGTTGAAAATATCAAACCAGGAATCATTAATTCAGAAGATCATCGATGAAAAATCACAGGCTATTAACAAGCTCAGCCTCATGGAACAGCACTTAGAGGAGAAAACTGTAAAGGTGAGACAACTGACTGACTCTAACACTCTTCTTTTACAGCAGTGTGATGAATTAAATATTAAAGTAACTGATTTAGAAAATATAATAAGTGTGAGTAAAAGTGACATTCTAGTCTCTAAAGAAAAAATTAGTGAATTAAACATTGAAATTTTGAATTTAACAGAACATATAAATTCCAAAGAAATTACATTAACAAGTGCTAAGAAACAATTGGATTTAGGGCAGAAAGAACTTTCTGATTTAAGTCAAAATTTTGAAAGGTCATCACAAGAAAACCAGAAACTTTGTGTTGAGTTATCAGTTAATCAAGACACCATACACAAACTTAACATGCAAATAGACACTCAGAATTACGAACTTTGTGAAATGAAAAATAAGTGTGAGAATCTTATTAGTCAGAATGCTAGTTTGAAAGAAGGGAATATGTCCAGTAAGAATGAATGTTCCATGTTGCATGAGAAACTAAGTAAACTCAATACAGTCTGTATTCAGAAGCATGAAGAAATTTCCTCTCTCAATGCAAGTCTACAGAGCATGTCTTTATTTATAGAGAAACAAAACTCAGACTCTAGTAATCAGATACAAACTCTAAAAGAACAGTTGCATGATTTCAACTCAATAATTTCTAACAAAACCACAGAGAATGAAACACTCATACAAAAAGTGGAAACTGTTAAGGAAGAATATAAAACCTTGCATGAAAGCTATCTTAACCTTGAATGTGAAATGAAAGATATGAAGTCTGTGCATGAAACAATGACAGAAAAGTTGGGAACAATATCAGTTGAATATGAAAATCTTGAATCCCTATTCAGTGAACAAGAAAACAAGCTAATTAAAAAAGACAGTTGTATTAAACAGATGGAAAAAGATAATGGGGAACAAATTGAGTGGCTGAAATCCATGTTAACTGATCAAGATAATAAAAAAAAAGAACTAGAAGCTTCTATCATAGATAAAGATGAAGCAATAAAGCAATTACAATTCAAAATTGATGTTGGTGGAAATTCTTTTCAGGAACTTAAAAAGAAGCTAGTTTTTAAGGCTGAAGAAGTTACTCAACTACAATCTGATCTCACCATCACAAAAACTGAATGCAGTCAATTAGAATCCACCATTAGTGAAAGCAAATGTAAGATTGATGAACTCCTTTCCCAATTCAATGATAAAGAACACCAATTCCAGGCCCTTTGTACTAAAAACAATGAAATGGTCGGTGAGATTAGTAAAATTACTAACAAAGTTACTGTTAAAAACAGGAATATCCAGCATTTGCAATCTGAAATTAGTTCTAAATCATATGAAATCCAGCAGTTGCTGTCCCAAGTTAACAATAAGGATAAAGCTATCAGCCACTTAGAATCTCAGATTAATGATAAAGATAATTATGTCAGACAGTTAGAATCCAATGTTAGTGACCAGAACAATAACTTCAAAAAATTGCAGGCCCAAATTCATGATAAAGATTGTGATATCCAGCTTTTGCATTCTCAAATCAGTAATAAGGCAAATGAGATCCAGAAAGTTATCTCCGAAATAATTAGTAAAGACTGTGATATTAAGCAATTGCAGTCACAAAATAGTGAAAGTAACAATGAAATACAACAGCTGGAATCTAGGATTAGTGACAAGAACAATGAGATACAACAACTGCAGTCACAAGTTAGTAACAAGAACAGTGAGTTACAGCAGCTTGAATCTCGAGTTAGTGATATAAAAGACACTATACAACATCTGGAAACTCAGGTTAGTGATAAGAATAATGAGATACAACAACTGGATACCCAAGTTGGCGTGAAAAGCAACAAGATACACCAACTGGAATCCCAGGTTAGTGATAGAGGTTATGAACTGGAACATCTTCAACAGTTAGTTACACAATACAGTAGTGACTTCAGTCGTCTACAATCAGAGCTTCAGATATCAGAGACCAGTTTGAAAGTTGCAGTAAAAGAAAATGATATCCATTTAGAGGAACTGAAGTCACTTCAAAATACAATTTCACTTAAAGATGAAGAACTACAGAAGTTAAATGCTGATTTATCTCTGAAGAATGAAGAATTCAACAGTGAAATAAGTAGGAAAGATATTTCCCTCAGTGAAGTAAAGACTGAAATGGAGAATGTAGTTACTGAACAAAATAAACAGATAGATGATTTGAAGAGTTATTACAATGATTCTACAAAAAAAATGCAAAGCTTAGAGAAATATCTGCAGTCAAAGGATCTTGAAGTGTCAGAACTAAAAAATGCAGCACAAATAAATGCTAATCAGATAGTTTTGCTCTCTGAAGAATTGATCTCAATTAATCTATGTAAGGATAGCTTCTCTAGTCAGCTAAATGTTTTAGATACAGCTTTGAAAATCAAAGAATTGGCTCTCTCATCTGCAATGAAAAAATATGACTCACTGGTATCAGAAAAATGGAATATTTTAGCTAAGCATGAAGAAGATATAGACTTATTTAAAACCAGACTTGAGGAATCCCAAAATGCTAACCAAAAAATTGAAAAGGCATTGGAAACAATGACCAGTTTAAAGGATAAATTATTACTAGAAGTATCAGCTTTAGAAGATACCTTACGCCAAAAAGACAAGGCAGTTAAAACTCTATCTGAAAGTGTGAGCTGTTTGGAACAGGAGAAAATCATTATGATGCAAAATAGCCAAATTAAGGCAGACGAATTAATATCAGAGAAACAAGAAGTATTGCTAATGAAAGAAAAAACACAGAAACTTGAAGTGTCACTTGATAATACTGAAACAGAAAAGACATTCCTTGTCCAGAATCTTCAACAGGCAATATCTGAATTACATGAAGAGAGAGCAGCTCTTCAAACAGAACTGCACTATTCCAAGGAGATTAACAAGGAATTAGATCTCCAGATTGTGATATTAACAGCAGAAATGGACAATAAAGCAATAACATTGGAACAGTTTTCCTCACAGACTGAAATTCACCTTGTAGAAAAGACAAATCTTAAAGATTCCTTGAAGAAAACGAAAATCAACATATCAAGTTTGAAAGAACAGTATCAAACACTCTTTCAAGAGAAACAAAAAATGAAAGATGATTTCAACAAAATATTGGAAGCAGATCAAGAAAGAATTAAAACTGATGAAGAGAAATTGATTACAATGGAGCAACAGTTAATTGAAAGTCTCAGTAAAACAACAGAATATAAAAATAACATTGAAACTCTTAATTCCAATACCTTACAACTCTCCTCTAAAAATATAGCTCTGCAACAAAAGTTAGAGAATCTTAATGAAGAATTTAATAAAGAATTGATGTCTAAAACTACAGAATCAGAAGTGTTGCAGAGCACAAAACAAAATTTTGAACATGCAAAGGTCAGAATTGATGATCTAATGAAGGATATTCTTTCGAAAGATATGGAAATCATTGATCTTACAGAAACTTTAGTCAATAGCCAACAAACAACAGCAGATCTTCAGGAGCAGTTGGACAAATCTAATGAAACATTGAAGGAGACTCTGAAAATGTTAGAAGCAACAGAATCCAAACTTGGAGAGAAATTAAATGAAATCCTTCAACTTAACGATATCATAAATCTAAAAGCTAGGGAGTTAGCTGAATACTCTGAAGCATTTGAGAAATCGGTAATTGACCATACATCTGAAATTGATGTTTTAACAGCAAAATTAACTACAACAGAGGCATGTCTTGAGAAAAATACTATAACCTATGAAGAAGAAATAGAAAGTTTTAGTCATAAGCTAACCAAAATGGCTACAGAAAGTGAATTCATTCAAATCAATGAGCGACAAAACTTTGAAGAAAATATTACCAAAGTTCAGAACGAAAACCAGAAATTCCAAGAATCTTTAGATGAATTACAAAAAAATTGTGATTCACTAATTGAACAAATTGGTAGTAAGGATGAGCAGATTATGCTACTGTCTTTGCAATTAGAAGAAAGGCAACAAATTGTAGTGAAGCTTGATGAGGACAAATGTACGTTATCGGAAGAATTGACAGAAGTAAAGAAGTATTTAGAGGAAGAAAGACAAACCACTGAATCACTGAGCATTAGAATATCACAACTTTCCAAAAGCATTGAAGAAACACAAAAACAATGCAAACAGCAGAGCCTCTCTTTAAGTGGAAATGAAAAGGATCTAGCAAGCATACATTCTGAACTAACTCAGAAGGAAGCTTCCATACAAGAAAAATGCACCATCATTGCAGATAAGCAGACTCTCATAAACAGATTAACAGAGAAATTGCAGAGCTTTACAGATAACAAAACTAAGTTATCGTCAGAACTTGACATTGCAAATGAACTGATTACAGAAAAACAAAAGCAGTTTAATGAACAGACTCTCCTTTTAAATGAAACTCAACAAGATCTAACAAAAGTTCAGCTGGATTTAACCAAAAAGCAAAACACCAATGACGAAAACTGTAAGATTATTAATGGTATGCACATTACGATTGCAAATTTAACAGAAAAACTTCAAACCACAAAAGATGATCTTATAACAGAAGTTGATGAAATAAGGAAGAAATATCAAGATCTTAGAGAACTCTGTGATGGCATTGAAGAGGTGAAAGCTGGCCTCGAAAACTATGTCAAATCTCTTCAAGCTGATGTAGACTCTTTAAACATCAAGTTGAATGAAGAAAAGAAACTCCATAATGACACAAAAACTGCTTGTGAAGAAAACCAAACTACCATATGCACACAGGAAAACCAAATCAGCCAGAAACAGAAATTGTTTGAAAACTTGAAAGAAGATTTGATGAAGTTAAACATCATCATTAAAGATAATAACCACCGAAATTTACTGTTAGAAGAATTGTTATTAAAGAAAACAGAGGAACTTCAGGAGTTTTCAAAAAAATATGATGATATGGATGCTGAGTTCCGAAGGGAGATTGAAGAATTGCTGATAAATGAAAGAACAAGGAATGGGATTTTATTATCAGAATTGGATGATGTAAAAGAGAAGAACTATTCACTTTTGAACAATATTTTCAAGATGGATCGTGAAAGACAGAAATTGAAGATTGATGTAAGCAGTAAAACCTTAAAAATAAGTGAAATGGCAGATGACGAACAAAAGTTACAGATACTGATTGAAGAATTAAAAAATGATGTAAAACTGAAAATGGAGCTCCTTGAAAATGCAAATGAACTTCACGTACAGGAAGAACATGACCTGTTAAGTCTTCAGTTAGATTTTGAAAAGGTAACTACTGAAAAGTTGGAGATTTCTTCCAAAGTTGAATTGTTGATGACAGATCTTAAGGCTACAAAGGAAGAACATTCCAAAACTAAGGATACTTTATCTGACAATATTGAACATCAGACGACTCTGCAGTTGCAGTTAAAAGATAAGACCATAGAAGTTAACCAATTAAAAGATAAGTATATATCTAAAGAAGTAGAAATCCAGTCTCTGAGAAAATCAGTTGAAAAAATTCAGCATGATGGCGAGGAAAAGATAGCAGATATGAAACAAAGAATAACGGGTTTAGAGGCAAGAAATATTGATTTACAAAAACAAATTGAAGATGCTTTTATTCAAGTAGAAGTAATTTCTGAGATCAACAATAAGTCAGAAATACAGATTCATTCACTTAAATCAAAAAATTGTGATCTAGTTGAATCACTGAATTCTGCTGAAATAGAATGCAACAACCTAAAGTCAGAAATAAATACCAAAGAGAAATCATTATATTCTATAACTCTTCAAATCAATGAATTCCAAAGGGAACAGAATCAACTTCAAACCAGTATATCTAAGAAAGAGAAAGAAGAAGAAGAAGCTTCTGCCACACTTGAAAAGTCTCTTGAAGAAAAGGAAACCATCATTAAAACCTTAAAAGACCAAAATGAAAGTTTGAGAGATGATGTTCGTAAACTTGATCAGGAGTCTTCAACATTAATTTCTAGTTTGAAAGAGGAAGTAGAGTCTCTAAAGTCACAGTCTGAAAATCTTCAAACAGACATTGGTAAACTGCAAAGGACAAACAGTCTGTTGATTGAAAAGAATAAAAAAACTGGGAGTTCCTATGAAATCTGCCTTAAACAACTGTCAGCATTGAAACACGAACTTGAGCAAAGTGAATTCGCTGTTACTGAATTACACAAGAATCAAAAAGAAGATGCTGAGAAAATATCTGTGTTAAAAATATCTGGAAAAGAATCAAAAATTTCTTTGGATGAACAAGAAATACTCATATTGGAACTGAAGGATAAATTGACCATACTTGAGGACAAGGGTGCTATTTCTTTACATAACAAATTAGGTGAAGTTAATCAGTTGAAATGCAGTTTAGAGGAAGAAAGAACCAGATCTAAATCACTACTGCTAGAAGTTAATAGAATGTCTGAATTAAATCAAGAAATGCATTCTGTCATGGTAGATCAAAAAACACAGCTTGGGATTCTTGATGGCCAGTTGTCTATTACCACAGATAAGCTATCATCACAACTGAGTGTTATTGCCACTCTTACAAATCAGGTAAACAATTATCAGGTAAAACTAGCTGACAAAGGTGCAATTTTGACAGAGGTAACAAATGAAATGGAGCTTATTGAGCAGACCTGTTATGAACTAAGCCAGGAACTGACAGATCTAAGACAAGAAAAGGAAAACCTCATGAATAGGCTAAAGTTGTTAGAAAATGAGAATAGAGAGAAATCTACAACATTATCTGAGCTCAGAGATAAGATTGCGGATTTAAAATTGGAAAGATGTGACAAAGAAGAAACTTACGTTCAGAAAATAGAATCTTTAAACAATACCATAGAAAAATATGAGGAAGACAAGACTAAGTTGAAAACATTACTGGAGAAAGCAAAATCAGAAAATCAGTTACTTGAACAAGCCAAAGAAATTATTTTAGCAAAACTAAATCATATTACTCAAGACATCGATAAAATGCAGTCTATTGTTGATGATACCAATAAAAGCAAAGAAAATCTCTCATCCCAGCTTATGATGTTAGAACAACAACTCACAGAAGCTCAAACAGAAGAAGGGAATAAAAACCATGAAATAGAGATGTTGGTGAAGGAATTGGAAGAATTAAGATTGTGTGAAAAAACCTTAAAAGAAAAAATGGAATTTTTGAAATCAGATCTCCATACTTTTGAAAATGAGAAAGAAAGACTTCTATCTGAGAATAATTCTCTAGTTTCTTCTTTAAAATTGAAAATGACTGAAATGGATGAAGAAAAGCAGGACCTAGAACAAGTACTTAAGGAAAAGAACATTGAGATACAGTGCTTCAAAGATACTAAGGATCAGTTGACCTTCGAATTACACAAAAATCAAAGCATTGTGAAAGAAAAAGAGGATGTTCTACAAAGATTTCATTCCGAATTCAGTGAAGCAGAGAAAGCAAACCAGGTGTCAATGAGTCAAATGGATACCGAAATCCAACAGTTGTCAGAAAAAATAGAAGTAAAAACACTGATAGAAGAACAAATCAGGACTCAATTGGAGTTAACTATACATGAATTGGAGGAAGAAAAGAAAATCAACACTCAAACTTTGGAAAAATTAGTAGAAAGAGAAGATCAACTTTCTATCATAGTTTCAGACATGGAAGGGGTGAGGTCTGCTTTAGATTCTATGTCCTCAGCCATGATTCATAATTTACATAAATTTGTTATCATTCAAAGAGAATCAGAAGATAAAAGGTTAAAAGTTGAAGAATATGAATCAACAATGACCAATATTACCATTAAGTGTAAAGAGCTTGAAGTAGAAAAGGATGCTAAAATTCAGGTTTTAATTACTGAAATAGAGGATCTTGCATCCAAAAATCTATCTCTACAGTCTTTAGTCATCAGTATTCAGGAAAATCAAAATGTTGACGAAGAGGATTTGATTAAAGAGATTGAAAAAAATAAGTTATCTGAAGATAACCTTAATTCCAAATTGGTGCAACAGCAGATTAAGGAACAGGAAAGGATTAATAGCCTACAAACAGCTATTAACGAGAAAGATATCCAGCATAAGGCTTTGATGGACACAAACTACGATTTGAAGACTAGGATGGATGGATTGATTAAGAACCACAAAGACATGACAGATATGTATGAAAATGAAATTCAAGATGCCATTAGTAAACTGGAGCTAAAAAATGAAGAATTGATAACCATGGACCAGAAGTTATCAGGCATAACAGTTAGCTTCAGTAATCAACTAGATGAAGCCAATCAAACAAATTTGGAAATGACATCTTTAATTACGAAACAGCATCTCCAGCTTGACATATTTCAAGAAGCCTTAAATGAAAATCTTCAAAAAGAAGTATCACTGTGTTCTGCTGTTGGAAAGGTTTTAAAAGATTTCATAATCACAAATCAAAAACTGGGGAAAGCTGAAGCAGATCTTCATGAAGCTAAAATAAACTATGAATATATGTCACAACAGTTTCATAAATCCACTATAGAGTTGCCAAATGAACGAGATTTCGTTAAAAGTGCCTTAGATGAAGGGAACTCCATAGCTGTAAAGCGTTATGATGAACTTTACGAGAAATACCAAGCTGTCCAACTTCATATGCAAGAAAAAGATTCTGTGTTAAATGACCATGCTCAGGAATTACAGTGCCTCAGAAGAAATGAAGTTGTATTGATTGAAGAGAAGAGCTTACTCAGTGATGATTTACAGAAGATCAAATCTGAGTTTGAAAAAATTCAGTTACAGAGAAATAGTTTAGAAAGTGAACTGGCAGCCTTAAAGTTTCAAGTCAATACTGATTCCATGACCTACAAAGAAATTCGATTGACAACTGCTGGCAAAATCGAAGAATCTGAAAATGTGATTGATTCCTTAAAGAAAATGCTGGAAGAAATGAAACAGTCAGTTGAAGGGAAGAACAAAGTCATTGATCAATTATCTTGTTTGATGAAAGAAAAAGAGGATAGTTTAAGTGTTTCTGGGAACTGGTTTATTGAGTGTCAAACTAAATTAACTGAGAGTGAAAGTGAAAATAAACAATTACAAGAGAAAATAGCCTTGGCACTTGGCCAAATTAACAAATTAACTTATAGGGAACAAAACTTATATAGTGAATTAAACAATAGTTCCGAAAAAAGTCAGCATTATTTAGAACAAATAAACAAACTCACTGAAATCGGTAATACAAATGCCCATGAACTAGATACCTTGAAAAGTAACATGCAGTCATTAAGTGAAGAAAAGGTTTATTTAGAAGAACAGTTAAGTGACGCTTTACTTAATCTTGATGATATGAAAGAACAAAATACCACTTTGATGCATACTTTGCAGGTTTCAAAGGAAGAATTATTTGATCTACAAACATCCAAAAATCAACTACTTGAATTAAATTCCCTCAACGAAAATCTTACCTCTCAATTAACCCATCTTGAAACACAATTCAAACATTTACAAGAACGTAGTTCACAATATGAAGATAAAATCATCCATCTAGAAGAAGAAAACTGTTCATTGAAAGAAACAGTTAAAGCAGATGACATACATGAACCTGTGAACAATAATCAAGCTGATGGAAGGAGTGCTTCACTTGTAGAAACAGTAACTGCTGGAAAGGTTATTACACTCCAAGCAGCTAACACAGTAAATGAGGGAGGTAAAATGCCAAAAATTAACTTGAAGAAGGATGCCAAAATATTGTCACAATGCCGCAAGATTCAAGAGTTAGAGTCCAAGCTGATATCATCCAAGCAGACTGCAACAACAACAAGATCATTTGAGCAAAGTGTCAGCACTTCATCATTTGATTCTATAGATTCTGTGACTTCTGAAGTTGTTAAATTAAAGAAAATGTTAAAAAAGAAAGAAGCCAGAATCACCGTGTTAAATAACCAACTGAGTGAGCTGCAAACAAATCTCATGGACCAACAACCTACTGATAATACTTTGCAACAAACAACTGACTTTTTACAACTAGATGATGCTAATGCTAAGCTTTTTGTTGAACAGGAAAGAAGAGATGTCTTGGAAAAGCAGTTAGCAAGTTTATCAACAGAAAGATCAGATCTAGTCATACAATTAGATGAATTACCAGGTCTGCGAAGTATGGTTCAAGAAAATCAAACGGTTATCAGTGACATGAAGAAGCTGAACTCGCAGTTAGTTGCACAGAATAAAGAATTAATGAAGTCAGTAGATTCAGGACAAAAGACCGCAGAAACCGATTTAGCATTTAATAAACACCTTAAAAATATGTTAATTGAGAAAAGTTCTAAACTGGTCGAGAAAATTGAAGATACTGATGATGCTGCACAAAAACACTTGGAAACAGAGAAGAAATATTTACAACTCCTTGCTACAAAAGACAGTGAAATAGAATTATTAAAGCAAGAAGTAATGAAAATGACACAAGCAGTGATAGACAAAGAATCCAGTACCCAAGCAATTCAATCAGAAATTGACTACTATAACCTACATCTATCAAATTTGCAGCAAGAAATATTTAGCAAAGGTGATGCGTATGCTGAACAACTTACTAGTCTTAATGGTGACATATTTACATTTATGAGAAATCTCATCAACATACCAAAGATAGTCATAAAAGAAATACCGGACAATTTCCCTGAAAGTGCAGATGTAGAAATTAAAGACACAAATCATCTTAAAAGCAGATTATTGTCTTTGGAAGCTGAAAATCAGCACTTAAATGAGATGGTACAGAAGTCTCAAATCCAATTGCAGTATGAAAAAGATCTTGCTCAGTCCATGGCCACAAGGTACAAGGAAGAAGTCAAAGAGATTTCAGAATTAAGAACCCAGGTTTACAAATTGCGCAAAAAATCTGTGGAAGCTGATACAATAGAAGAAGAAGATGATGAAAGTTCAACTGTTGGCAGCACTGAACAAACAGGTCAATATGAAAGAGAGAAGATTGCCAGATTAACTGAAAAATTACACCAAACTGAGGAACGTATAGAATTTATAATTGGTGAAAAGAAGGACTTAGAACTGGAACTTGATGACCTTATAGATGAACTTCATAGAAAAGATGATATGCTCTTTCAGACAAAAGAAGAACTCAATTCAAGTTGTAACTTCATAGATGATTTGGAAGCAGATATAAGTTTGAGAGATGAAGAAATATTAGCCTTGAAAGATATTATGTCTAAAACACAAGCTGATATGTTTCATATGCGTGAGGAGCTTGACCATAAGGAAAACCTTCTCGAAACAATGTCTCCACTTCCACCTTTAAGGGCTCAAAGTTTGGATGGTCTTGATGAGGTCTCCAAACTGCAAAAGCTGCTGAAAAAGAAAGATGCTAAAATCCTGGTACTTAACAAGAAAGTAGAAACCCTAACAAGGCCACAATCAAGTACAAACATTCCAGATATGGTGGATGGTAAAGAAGTTAGTCTAAATTTACACAAAGAAGTAGAGTCACTTAAGAAACTTCTTGAAGAGAAAGACTTACAGGTTAGAAAACTTGAGTCCCAAAAAGCTTTATTGGGAGAAGCAGCAATACAAACTAGTGAAGTTGCCAAGTTACGGAAATTAATCAAGATTCGGGATGCTAAGATATTGGTGTTACGTAGAAAATTAGATGAAGTGACTTCCTCAGGTGACAACTCCCTAGGTACATCATCAACAACAGACTCATTAGGGTTGGAAACAACCAGTTCAAGTAATGTTGATGCATTGAGAAATATGTATACCACTGACATATACCAAAAAGATCAACAGATACAGGAAATGACAAAATGCATTGCAGACCTGCAAAGCAATCTTAGTTATCATCAACAAACATTGTTTGAAAAAGAAAATGAGTTGGTAATTGTTGTAAATAAACTAAAGGAAGCAGAAAAAGCTCATGCCTGCATGACCACAGAACAGAGCAATTTCAGTGACATTCTTAGCCAAAAAGATCATGAATTGGATATTTTAAACCAGAAATGGATAATGGCTAAGCAGAATTTGGAAGAGTCCTATACCGAACAGGATACCAGCTACAACCATTATCAACTCTTGGAAACAGAAAAAGTTGAATTAGAATCACAGATAATAGAAATGAAAAAACATCATTGTGAAATGTCTGCCTATTCAGAAGGGCTGTGGAACGAACTTGGTGAATTGAAATTGACGTATGAGACTCTGTTATCTGAAAAAGAAGATCTTGAAATCCAAGTTGAGAACCTTACAAAAGAAAATGATGTTGCTAAAACTAAATTGGAAACACTGCAAGACACCATTAGAATATTAAGAGCCGAGAAGGAAAAAAATGATTTAGAACTCCATCAAATGAAAGAAGATTATGAATATGAAACCTCTGACAGCCAGTCGAAAGCAGAAAAAATAATAGAACTTGAAAATCAGATAATAAAGATTGAAGAGGATTCCAACAACTTGAAGCAAGCTTTGTCAGAAAAAAATGTTATTATCGAACAGTTAGTTGATAAGATGCACAAAGAGCAAGAGGAGAGATACAACCTGTCAACGACCGATCAACAGAAAATAGATAAACTTCAAACAGAGCTAGACCATGCACTTTCCAAGATGGAAGATTTAACTGAAACATGTTTTATACAGAAATCAAATTTGGAGTCAAGTAAGCATCTTCTTCAGGATAAAGAAGTTCTAATTGAGCAACTTCAACATAAAGAATTTGACACCCAAAGTATAGCAGATCTCCAGGAAGCTTTGGATAAGAAAGAAACTCATATCATTCAGCTGTCACAGGAAACTGAATGCCTCCAACAAGTTCTTGACATGAAACGAAGTGAATTAGATGAGTTAACAAAAAACTTTAGAGTAATAGACCAAGAAAATTTAAGTTTGAAAGTAGAAGGTCAGAGCACCGAGAAAGAAATATCTAGGCTGAAATTGTGTAATTATGACTTAGAATATCAACTGGCCAACATCAATCAAGAACTGCAGCAGGCAAAGGATACCCAGTTAGAGAAGGATTGGACTCTCCATGATTCACAAAAAGAAATTCAGTTATTAAAGCAAGGATTATCAGCTGACCAGAATTTAAAAGTAATTCAACTACAAGAAGAGGTTGACATGAAAGACGGACAGATAGCAGCACATAGCATTCTACTAAACCAACTTCAAGCCAATCTGCACTCTTTGAATTCTACACTTCAAGATAAAGAAAATTCTATCACCATTCTTACTCAAGAGAAAGAAAATATTTTGATGGAAAGCAAAGCTTGGAAAGAAAATGGAGAACATTTGAATTCTATCCTTAAACTTAAAGATAAAGACATCCAGGATCTACACAAGAAAGTTAATGAGATGACAGAATATGATAACGAAATGGAAAGTGAATTGAAAAACTTTTATACAAAAGAACAAGATTATATTAAAAAAACTCAGGAACAATCTGAGCTGATCAAAGAATTGCATTCCAAACTCGGTGATGTTGAATCTGAAAGAAAATCCCAGCTAGACATTATATCAATCCTAAATACACAAATTTTGGACTTAAATGAACAGTTGAAGTTAAAAGACAATCCATCCAATTATAGTAAGGAACTGTCCCAATTACAAAATAACCTGAAAAAAAGGGATGCCAAGATTTTGAATTTAAATAAAAAACTGAAAGAGACTCAAGAAAAGCTTGATAGAGTCGAAAAGGAACTTGATAGCATCCAGTTAAAAAGTAGGACAGAAACCAAAGAAGCCTTTGTTCATGAGCCTTTAATGGATATGAAAGTTACTGAAGAACTAATGGTAGGCACTGAAAATATGGAAACAGCTGCTAATCCAAAACTGTATAATGAAGCCTGGCAGTCTCATCTACATGAAGAGCAGATATCACTAATGAAAGTGCAGATTAAGGACCTTAAAACAGAAGTTGAAAAAGCCAAAGCAACGCTTGATGTGAGAAATGGGCAGGTTCAAGAACTGAATGTCTTGAGAACCAATCTGACAAGCAGTGCTCAAAATGATATTACTAGGTTACATGATGAGATTAAAACTTTAAATGAAGCTACTATGCATAACAATCAGAAGATGGAGTCCATGTCCCAGGCTTATGATCATCTACAGAATGAAGTTCATTCTTACCAAATAGATATTGAAAACAAAAGCAGTCAAATTCAAGATCTCACAACATCAATCTTACAGAAAGAACAAAATGTAAGAACAAAATCTAGTTGGCTAGCTTTACAATATATATACTCTTAATTTAACATCATGCATTATCAATATGGAATTGGTTGAAATGAACAATTACTATTTCAAATACATTTATCCTTTTACTTACATGTAGATTATATATTGGTTAACATCATAAATTTATCACATATTAACATAGGTTAAGGCCCGCTTTCCATGTATGCGTTTCCGTAAACAAAAAAGTCAGTCTAATGCAAATGTAATGGGACCATTTCCATGTAAACAATCATCCAGCAAAAAAACAAATGTTGCTTGATGATCTACTTTTCCGCAGCATTTTTTCTCACGTGAAGTGTGCAGATGCATGCCCAAGCATTATTATTATTATAAAAAGATGGCAACTGAAAGTAAACAATGTCAGTCTCCATGCTGTAAAGGCAAATCTTCACTTATGATGTGGTTTATGTGGGATTCCCAAAACCTTTCAGACATTTTCTCTACATATAAATACAAAAAATCGTGTGCGGAAACATGTACATAGAAAGTAGGCTTTACTTATTATATCATTATCAATTACGTGAATGTTCTTTATTGCTTCTTTCTAAACACCAATATGACATTATTTTATTAATAATAAATAGTGCTTAATTTCTTTCTTCCATTTTTATATGCCCACATGGAAATGTGGTCGTATTTTGTCGTCGCCCCCGTCCGTCTGTCGGTCGGTCCGTCCACAATTTCTTGTGAACGCTCTAACTCCACAAAAGTTATTATTCGATTGTTTTAAAATTAATATATGTGGTTTAAATTAGTGAGATGAAGAATCCTATTGCATTTCAGCAATTTCCGTTTATTATGTCTAGAGTTATGGCCCTTGTTTCACTTTATTGAACCTTATCTGCCGATCTGTATGAAATTTACATGCATCATTTAAATTAGTTTAGAGTAGAATCCTATTAAATTTCAGCAATTTCCATTAATTACTTCTAGAGTTATGGCCCTTGTTTGACTTTGTTGTACTTTGTGAACGCTCTAACCTCTAAAGTTATCTGCCGATCTGTATAAAATTTATTGCATTTAGAATTATGGCTCGTTTCCCTTTATTGAACCTTGTGAACGCTCTAACCCCAAAAGTTATCATCCGATCTTTGTGAAATTTATATGCATTATTTAAATTAGTGAAACCAGGAAGCCTATTGAATTTCATCAATTTACAATAATTACTTCTAGGGTTATGGCCCTTGTTTCACTTTGTTCAACCTTGTTAATACTCGATTGATGAAAGTTATTATCTGATATGTATGAAATTTATTATGCATCATTTAAATTTGTGTAACAGAGGTCTATTGACTTTCAGCAATTTCCGTCAATAATTTCTAGAGTTATGGCGATTGTGAACCTTGTGAACGTTTGAATGACAAAAGTGATCATCTGATCTGTATGAAATTAATATGCATTATTTAAATTAGTAAAACGAAAAAGTCTGTCGAATTTCAACAATTTTTGTAGATTACTTCCAGAGTTGAGACCCTTGTTTCAGTTTGTAGAACCTTGTGAACCCTGAAACAGCAAAAATTATAATCTGATCTGTGTGGAACTGTCTTGTAAAGTCCCACAATTACCTACAAAGGAATAAATATGCGACAACCCTTGTCGACCGCTCGGATGATTTAGCTGCTGTGAGCATATGTTTCGTTGCCTGGCAACCTATTTTTAATGAAATGACTAACATATATGTATATGCAACACACAGAAAAACATGTATTTGCTATAGTATTATAGATAAAAAATCAATAGCTGACCTATTTAAATATTAAAAAGTAAGTTTGGTAACATCTGCTGCATCTGTTATATTATATTCTTTTCCAAGCAAACACAAAATTAAGCAGTGGAATAAATTTGCAAGTATGATATACAAATATTAATTAATGCCTGTTGACTATTTTTGTAATGAAAAAGCACAAAGTTTCAGTTTCTTCAAAAATTTTACCTAGTCTGTTATTTTGCTTACTATCATTTCAGGTTCAACAACTAACTGAGACTATAACAGAGATGAACTCACAAATACAAAATTATGTCCAATCCTCACAAGAACAGTTGAAGTATAAAGATGAGGACCAAACTGTATGGTCAGACCGAATTGCATTCTTAGAAAAACAAAACAAAAGCCTTTCAGAACAGCTTCAAGACCAGGAAAACAGTAAAGTTACAATTGAAGAAAAAATGATTCATCTTATGCAGGAAATTACAGTTTATCAGGATTCCTTGTCTTCCTTACAATCTCAACTTATACAATCATCAGGTGAACTGGATAAATCTAAAGAATTACAACAGGAACACCAGCTTAAGATTGGAGCACTTGAAAAATCCCTGCAGACTACTTTATCAGACCAGGAATCTGAAAAGTCCCTTAAAGAGAGTCTTCAATCTCAGTTAGATTCTGCAAATAGGAAGCTTGAAGCTGAATCAGAAAAATCTAAGGAACTCCTAGAATACCCTCTCAAAGCTGAAACTCTTGAGCAGTCATTGCAGATATCTTTATCTGTCCAAGAAACTCAAAGGTCTGAAATAGAAAGTCTTCATTCACAGTTAAACACTACCAACAATATACTTGAGCAACTTCAAGGAAATTCATCAGAAAAAGAGAAAGAAATGTTAGACATGATACAGCTGTTAAATCAACAATTACAAACGAATGCAGGTGAATTGATAGAAATTCAATCCAGACTTGACGAGTCACAAAAGTCTCTACGGGAATCAGTTGTAGCAATTAAAAAGAAAGATGACAAAATATTATCACTGCTTGGAAATTTTCAGGAAATGGAAGATCGATTAACCCAGCTTTCTGATGTGGATGAGCAGATGGGTTTGATCACTCAAGAACTCAATGGTGCAAAGATGGAACTTGAAAATAAAACGAAACAACTTGAAGAAAAAACTCTTACCTTGAAAAAAGCTATAGCAACTGTTAAAAAACTCAAATCCCAACTAAAAAATTCTGAGGAAAAAATAGCAGAAATGGAAAATTCTTTAAGTGCAGAAAATCAAAATAATGAGCAACTTGAATTAGGTGTAGAACAGACAGTGACAGAACTTGAAGAACAGCGATTGTCATTGAAGAGTTTGAAAGAAACAACTGAATCATCAGGATGCGAAGATATAGGTGAAGTACAAAAACAGTTACAGTCCTATGCTGAATATTGTCAGCAGTTGCAAGAACAGGTTCAGCAACTTACAGATGCTACGTACACCTCAGAACAGCAGTTAAAAGAGAAACAAACTGAAATAGATGTGCTAAAAGGCGAATCAACAAACTTAAAATTAGAGATCCAGGAACTGAAATTGGTGTATGAAAGATTACAGGCAGATATGTCTGTACAGAAAAAAGTTGAAGAAGGTTATAACTCAACTTTATACCAGAAAGATGAGTATATCAAAGAGCTGAAGAAACAAGTTGAACAGATAGATTCTGGATATAAAACTCTTCAAGAGCAGTATTCTGAGAAAGAAGAATATCAGCTTGAATTAACTAGCGAAAAAGAGAGGATGGTGATATTAAGCAACGAGTCAGTCGATGCAAAACTGCAGGAAGTTGAGAAGTTGAATGATCATATAAACAAACTTCAGCAAGAGCAAGATGCTCAGGAAAAAGAAAAGCAAGAGATGTCACATAAATTGGAAATGGCTTATCTAGATCTGCAAAGGCTACAAAACATCCATGATAAAGATTTTCAAGAAAACAATGATTTGGAGATTAAATTGCAAGATTTAGAAAATGAAATAAAACAAATCCAAACAGCGAAAGATGAAGAAATTAGTGTCTATGTTGAAAGCTTAAACACTTTACAACAAAAACTTATTGAGAAGGAGGAGCTGTTACAAGGGACAGTGAAGAAGCTTAAAGACACAATGCAAGCAGCGGGTTCTGATGGCACAGAGCTCAAAACAAAGACCATTGACTATGAAAATCGTATTACATCCTTAATGGAAGAAAATAAGTTATTGAAATCAGAAATTGAAAATAATGAACAGATTCAATCGTTAGGGCAAGTAACAGCTTTAGAAGATGTTGAGGTCATCAAAGAAGATAACTCCCGATTAAAACAGTCTCTTACAGAAACAACCATGGAATATGAAAGTTTGAAATTAAAGTATGAAGAAATTGATTTTGAGAAGTCGAGAGTTGAAAAGTTGAATAGTCAGTTACAAGAGGAGAAAACTTTGATCAAAGAAGAGTTTCAGATGCAACTGGAAATAGTAGAAAATTTACAACATTTGTTAAAGGAAACCCAAATTTCCACAGAAGAATGGCAGACACAGAATAATCAGTTAACATCCAGTTTAGAAGAATTGAAGGCTGAGAAGGTAACATTGAGCACTGAGATTGAAACTTTACAAGGACAGTGTGAAGGACTGGAACAGATCATTGCAACAGCTAGACTTCATGAAACAGAAATACAGGATAGACTTTCTCAATATCTGACAGAAATAGAAAAATTAACTAATCATGGCAAATTGCTTCAAGAGAAGATTGATGAATTGGAGGCTTGTAAAAACCCAAATGCAAAAGAACAGCAGAAAGAAATTAATTATGTTGAAAGGATTGAATCTCCAATGGTTCGAGAAAGGTTACAGCAGACTACTGCTCCTGTTGTAGTCTCTTCTCCATCTGACACATGGTCTGAGAAGTTAAAAAAATCAGAAGCTAAATGTGCTGCTTTAGAAGATGAAAATAGGCATGTGAAGGGTAAGCTACAAATTGCTGAAGTCAAGTGCGAAAAAATGCTACATAAACTGAAGGCCTTTAAGGATAAAAATGATAAATTGATGTTGGAAATTGAATCCTTGAAAAACAGCCAGCCATTATCTGGAACATTTGATGAAGTCAAAGAAAAACTTAAAAGAAAAGAAGAAGAATACAATATTATTCTAAATGAGAATTCGGCGCTCAAGATATCAGCAGAAGATCTGAACAGGCAAATTAATACTTTACAGCAGACCTTTGATACCAGATCAGCATATACTGAAGAATCCTTGATGATAGAAAAGGAACATTCAGAACAGCATACTCAAACCCTTCAAGCTAAAATACATGAAATGAATACCACCAACGAGGAACTGTTAAGAGAAAATTCATATCTTAAAAACACACTGGAAACAGCTGATAAAGAACTAATGGCAATGCAGAAGAATAACAAAGAATTGCTGGTTCAGAATGAAACATTTTTGTTGAATAACGAAACTCTGAACCACAAATTAAAAGATCAAGTAGATATGATAGAAGCTTTAAAAGGTAAACTTCAGCAAGCAAAAGATGAACTTGACAGATCAGAAGCCATTCGATCTGAATTAACAGAACAGAAATCTCTCGTTGATCAGTCGATAACTGAATTGAATGAAAGTTACTTCAATGATTCTCAAACATTGAGAAATAAACTTGAAAGTCTTCACCAGCATTATGGCATGTTGGAAACAGATAATCAGGAATTTCTGATATTGACTGATGAACTAAGGGAAGCTGTTAGAAATCTGAAGAGAGAGAATGAAGAAAAAACTTTCCTGCTTAGCAAATTACAAGAAGACTCTTTGGAGAAAAGTGTATCAAATACCAAAGGGATGGAAATGCAGATACATCTGTTAGAAAGAGATAGGGATGAACTTATAAAAGAAATTCAGACAACTAGGGTTCAGTTAGATCAAGTTAAAGAAGAAAGAAATGAATTAGCCCAAGAGGTTGAAAAATTCAGAACTCAAGTGAAAGATCAAGAAAAGGTGCATAGTCGAATTGTAGAACTGGAATCTGAAAGAGATGAACTTATGGAAGAGATGGAAGGGCTTAGAGAAGATATGTTAGTGTCAAGAAGAGGAAAACAGACCAGCAAGGAAGAAATTGAAGGTCTAAAAAGAAAAATTGAATCTCTTGAAACAGAAAGGGATGCAATTGGAACCTACCAAACAGAAATGAAGTCACTTTATTCTGAAAATCAAAATCTTAAAGAACGAATTGATGGTTTAAACTGGAAACTTGAAGAATCGTCGGCATTTGAAGAAGAACTTGAAGAAGTCCAAGCCCAACTCATGAACTTGCAAAAGGAAAAGGCAGCTGAACAGACTACTTCATTTGAATCTATGTCATTAAAGACTCAAGAATCAGAAAATCTGTGTCAAGAAATCGAGTTGATGCGTGTTGATTTAGAGAAGAGAGATATCCTTATAGAAAACCTGAAATCCGAAGTTGATGAAATGCATGACAAGATTCAAGTTTTATTAGAAATTGAAAATCAAAATAAAGCACTCCATGTTGAATTGAAACAATCAAGATTAATGGTGGACAATCTGAAATCTGAAAAAAATGAAATGCATGACAAGTGTCAAGTGTTAACAGAAGTTGAAAATCAAAATAAAGCACTCCAAGGTCAATTAGAACAATCCATATTAATGGTGGAAAATTTGAAATCTGAGATGGTTGAAAAGCATGGTATGCGCCAAGTTTTAACAGAAGTTGAGAGTCAAAATAAAACACTCAATTTTGAATTAGAACAATCAAGATTAACCGTGGACAAATGTAATAGACAGATAGGAGAGCTGAGCATTAGACTCCAGTCTTTGGATACTCTAGAGGTAGAGTTCAGTGAGTTAAATGAACAGTACAACAAATCACTCAATGACAATAACAACATGGCCAAACAAATAGAAGAGCTCCATGACCAACTCCAGCAAATGAATAGCATGGAAAAAGAGATTAGCCTTACAGTTGAACAAAAAGACCATTTTGCACGAGAAAAAGATACTCTACAACAACGTGTTAATGATTTAGAAAGTTTGGGTAGTAGTGTAACTGATGAAAATGCTCAATTGAAACAAGAACTGGCAGAAGTGAAAAGTTCCGTCCAACAGCTAACTTTTGAGGCCAAGTCATTGAAGTCCCAGTTAGAGATTGCTTCTTCTAGCGGAGATCAAATGAGTAAATTCCAGTCGGAGTATGATGAATTACTACAACAGTTTAACCAGGCTATAGAACAGAAGAATAAATCATTAGTAGACTTGAATCAAGCACACTATAATCATGAAAGACGAGAACAAAGATGTCAACAACTTGCCATGCAGGTAAAATTTTCTTTTGTAAATCTTTATCATTTTTCATGTCACTTATATAGTTTCTTTTTAATTAAGCAGTCTATTTAAAGTAGATGTCTATTTGGAAATTATAGCTTGAATTTTGTGCTTCATTTCAGTTTTATCCACTAACTTTTCCCAAAATGTATTGAAATGTCCTTGTTTGTACTCTGGTAGCAAATAAGAAGCCTCTTTTATTTGGTTAAATGAACTAATCTCTCGAAGATTTTATTGACTGTCAAATCAAATTCAGTGGTAATGTTATACTAATTTCAGAGGCCCAGAATATGATAATTGTTTCTACATATTAAAGATACATTATGGGAAATTTTAATAGAGAGTTGGCCATTCTTGCTAATACAGTTCAAAAATAGATGATGAAAGAAGAATATATTGAAAATTTCAGTCAAATTACTTGATTCTGAAAAAAGTTATCATCATTGTAATTTTTGACTAGAAATAGGAGTCAACTTTCTCTTCACCGTCTCCGAGAATGGCCGATCGTTTGATTGACAGGCGTTAACTCCACCTACATAATCTCGATTATCAAGTAACGTTTTCAATGAATGTGGTACCGTTGGCCTATTCGGTTTGAGACGGGGTTGCAATTCAATTCGTATCACATTTATTTTTACTACAAATTAAAAATAAGACTTTAATATATAGATAAGAAGCGAAAGTTTGAAAGGAATGGACCAAATCAATGAGGCATAATTATAGCCGACTTCTTGTTAGCCTGCATGTACTCTTGTACTGTAACTGGTAGGCCTACGTAACTCCCGAAGCAGACAAATAGGAAACAATGATCCAATGGGGCTGCAATTCAACTGGGGTGATGTTAGCTGCGATGTTAGCTGCGATGTTTATCAATTTCAATAATTTTTCTGTAAATGCAAGTGACAAAAGAGCGTATAATACCGACATCCAAACTCTCATTTTAACCACAACTAAACATAATATCGAGGCCGTATATATCGAACTTTCAATCAAATTGACTGACATGCGGCCTCGCGCAACAGCGGCCTTGTTTCGTACACTCTATCATTTAGCCTCGATCTAAAATTTCCGGGAGTATGACGTCAACGTAACGGTTAATCTCCGCTTACGACGCCATTGAAAAATTTAACCAATCAATGAAATCCTGTTTAAATCCAAGCCGAATCCAAGCCATCCGTGGGTCTACAGAGTTGATTTTGTGCTTGTTGTGTAAATAAAGACCTGATTTATAATTTCTATTACATCTGAAGCCTAAATAAAGACTTGCAATAATCAGATTTAGCTCTTGCATAATGTATGTTTAATGGAGTTAGCATAAATAACATGCATTAAAAGAAATGTGACACTTCCGATCTAGGTTTTAAATAACATTAATTGGTATACATGTTTATACACTCATTTTAGGTGAGCCAGTTAGCAGAAGATCGAAGTTACCTCAATGATCAATTAGGACATTTGTCAAAAGCTCTTAGAGAGAAAGAAAGTGAATGGAATACAATGAAAACTCAATATAGAACACTTTACCAAACACATATGTCTACACAGATGAAGGTAATGTATTCTTTGTTTTAAAATTTTATCTTTATGTGCAGATAATAATGAGGAATGTCATCTTTATGGAGTGATTCACCAATTGAAGCAGTAATGTTATATATTCAAGGATAGCGCTCCATGAGCAGCTATTCTTTATTTTCATGTGGATGTATATTGCCGTCACCCCTGTCCGTCCGTCTGTCTACAATTTGTTTGTGGACACTACAGGTCACAATTTTTATCTGATTTTGACGAAACCTGAAATATAGGTCTATCTCCCAAAGATCTCGGTTCCCTTCGATAATGGCATGTATCGGACCATAACTTCATGGATCATGGCCCCTGATTGTACGAAAAATCACGTTTTTAGCTTGTAGACACTCTAGAGGTCACAATTTTGATCCGATTTTGATGAAACTTGAAATGCATGTTTATAACCCAAAGATCTTGGTTCACGTGAATATGTCACCGTTACACCGTGTTGCTGGTTGAGTTCAAATTTCATGAAAATCCGACCAAAACTGCCAGACAAAATGGCCGTTCCACCCCCACCCCCCGTACGCAAATAGTGTAAACATCTGGTCCCTCTAGAGGTTACAATTTTTATCCGATTTTAAAAAATAAAGGTTTTAGTATATCACCGTTACACCTTAATGATGGTTGAGTTCAAATTTCGTGAAAATAGGACCAAAACTGTCGGACAAAATGGCCGCCCCTTGTTCGCAAATAGTGTAAACATCTGGTATATCAAGGTTGTGGACCTCCTAGAAATCACAATTTTGATCCGATTTTGATAAAACTTAATATGCATGTTTACAATTTTTATCGGATTTAAAAAAAAAAATAAAAAATGTGTGAAAATATCACAGTTATACACTAATGATAGTTGAGTTCGAATTACGTGAAAATCGGACAAAAAAAACTGATGGATATAATGGCCGTCCCTTGTACGCAAATAGTGTAAAAATATGGTATATCAAGGTTGTGGATCCTCTAGAGGCCACAGTTTTTATCTAATTTGGATGAAACTTTAAATATATGTTTTTATCATAAAGATCTTGGTTCCTTTTGATAATCACACTTATCCGAACGTAACTTCCTGAATTATGACCGCTGATTGGTCGAAAAATCGCATGTTTAGCTTGTGGATTCTCTAGAGGTCACAATTTTTTTTCCGATTTTAAAAACCATTTAGATATTACGATTCCACCATAATGAAGGTTGAATTTGAATTTTGGGAAAATCAAAATGAAACTGCCCGACAAAATAGCTGCTCTTTGTACACAAATTGTGTATAAACGGACCCTCTAGAGTTCAAAAATTTTATCTGATTTTGATAAAACTTAAAACATATCTTTATATTCCAAAAATCTTAGTCCCTGTCGATATTTGTGCATTTCAGGCCATAACTTTCTGGCTTATGGCATCTGATTGTACAAAAAATCATTTTTGGTTTTAGCTTGTTCTCTATCCATCTCTTGTAAAATGTGAGCGTATCCTGCCTTTGAAGATGAAGTCAGTTTTTCAACTTCTTTAATTTTTCCTTATTTAAAAATATTTGTCTATCATTTATCAACGTTTTATAGTAATCTCATAAAGTTAAAATTCACCGGAAGTGCCGCCATTTTGAAAATTTAAGTCAATCTTTAAAATCCTACTAGTGCTACAATTTTTATCCAATTTTCAATATCGCCATATATTTGGAAAGCATTCACAATTCACAATCAATTGGTTCGTTTAGAATTATGATATTTGACCTACATTTTTTTAAAGTGACGTCATAAAATTGAAGGTTTTTTTAAAATTGTGTAAGACTGAAATCAGGTAAAATGTCAATGGCAAACGATCAGTTGAGTCATTTGGTGCATATTTTGAAAGTTTTATCAAAAACACAAATGTAAACAAATGTGGCTCGCTAACCAGGAAATTTGGTATTGACCCAGAGAGTTTCTCCTGCGTTCCCCCTTGTCGGGGAGAGAGAGAGAGATAGGGTTTAAGGTCCACTTGACACAAACTAGGTCATTTTGGGACTAACATGGTTCAATTTTGTTTCAATAATTGCACGTAGGGGCGTTTAGCAGTGGGAAGAAACCGGAGTTTAATGTCCACTTGACACAAACCAGGTTATTTTGGGACTAACATATGGTTCAATTTTATTTCAATAATTGCGCATAAGGGTCTTTAGCAGTGGGAGAAAACCGGAGAAAACCCACTCCTTGTCACGTACAACTGGGGAATCGAAACCACCCCAGTTGACTGAATCACAGACCTTACAGCGCGCACATGCTAACCATTCAACCATCTAATCTCTCTCTTCTAGATGTTGAAATTAATGTAAGAAAGCAGGGGACTATTAAAATGTCTGTCTGTCTGTCTGTCCGCCATTCGTCCGTCCGGCCTTCTAATTGAGCTAGAATGTTCAAACTTGGTGAAGGTGTTTATTAGGTCAATGCCTTAATGGAGTTCGAAGATGAGCATTTTCTGCTTAGGGTAAGCAGAGATAAGCAAATTGATTGGTCGATTGTTTTGGACCCGATATCTTTAGTTCTAATTAAGTATTTTCTCCTTAGGGTAAACAGAGATAAGCAATTTGATTGGTTGATGCTTTGGAACACGATGACTTTAATTCTAATTAAGTGAGAGTGATGAAACTTGGTGTATAGTTTCATTACATCAATACCTTGTCTAAGTTCGATAATGAGCATGTTCTACTCCGGGTAAGCAAAACGATAATTAATTTGATTGGCAGCGTCTTTGGAACACAATAATTCTCCTTCTAATTGAGCTAGAACGTACTTGGTGTAGGTGTTTATTAGTTCAATGCCTTGATGGAGTTAGAAGATGAGCATTTTCTGCTCAGGGTAAGCAGAGTGATAAGCAATTTGATTGGTCGAGACTTTGGAACACAATAACTCTGATTTTAATTGAGGTAGAATGTTCAAACTTGGTTTAGGCATTCTTTAGGTGAATGCCTTGATGGTGTTCGATGATAAACATGTCTGCATACACACTGATCAGCAGTGAATATTCGCTAGGCCCCGACAATCACTGATAAGGATGACATCGATGCGACTTAATGAGCCATAAATATTAACTTTTTTCCCCCGACAAATTAAATTCTAAAACATTTTTTTTTATGTATTAGAAAAATAAATGAAGAGGTTTGACGTATTTGTAGGTAAAAATTATTTCCTATTTAGTGTAAATGGGTATTAAAATGAGTAAAAGGCTCCAATCCCCCCGAACCAGTAAGGTCTTATGTAAACAATGCACGCGCCATTGAGCCAATGATTGACGCCGCATGATGAGACGTCATGTGTTAAAGGTAGTCATCTTTTACAGAGATATTAGAAGACTTTCATAATCCTCTGTGAAACAGATTGGTCTGCTTACTGTAAGCAGAGATAAGCAATCTGATTGGTTGATGCTTTGGGGCACGATAACTTTGGTTATAATTAAGTGATGAAACTCCGATTATAGCTTCATTATATCATTACCTTGACTAAGTTCGATGATGAGAATTTTCTGCATAGGCTAAGGAGTGATAAGCATTTTGAGAACAGGGCTAGACATATTCCACAAGTCATGTCAAATGGTGACGCTATATTCTTATCTGGAGAGCATGCGCAATAAATACCATTGGTGTAGACTGGAAAAAACAGACGCTAAAGATTGCCATTCACATGAGGCTTCTGGTGTATTTTCGCCGAAAATAACTGATTAAAAATTACAGTAAAAACAGAAACGATTGAATGTAAATCAGTTTATATACATTCATATTACATTATTCTATGCGTTGTGACTAATTTTTGTCAATTTCTAGGTCCCAAATATTAGCTATTTAGCTCCTTTAAACTTGATGTAGATATTCATTAGGTGAATATCTTGACTGAGATCAATGATTAACATTTTGAGCTAAAGCTAAGCTGAGCAAAGCAATTTCATTGGTCGATGCTTTGGGACAAGATAACTTTGATTCTATCTGATAAAGAGTGATGAAACTTAGTGTATAGATAGTTGATAATCAGTTTGATTGCTTGATACCTCTGAAAAAAAAAAAATGTGCTATTACTTAATATGTGTCATCTATTTATTTTGGGATTTCGGAGAGGGAGATCAGCCTCACTGTTGGCTTGTTGATTTAGAGAAGAAAGTGGTGACAATACTTTATTATACTTGTTTTTATATTATTAATAAGGTTGTTGATTTAGAGAAAAAAGTTGTGACAGAGACATTCCAGAAAGCTCATTCTTCGCCTACAACGACTGTACCAGGTCGTGTTATACCAGATCAGTCACAGATTGAAGAATACAAACAACGGTATGTTCTTTTTATACGCCCACATTGAAATATGGTCATATATTGTCGTCACCCCTGTCCGTCCGTCCATCGCTCCGGCATCCACAATTGCTTGTGGATGCTCTAGAGGCTAAAGTTAATATCCGCTTGACTTTAAAATTTATACACAGTGTTTAAGGTGTTGAGACGAAGAAGTCTATTGATTTTCTGTGATTTACGATAATTACTGCCAGAGTTATGGCCCTTGATCAGTTTGAAAAATCTTGTGGACACTCTAGAGGCTAAAGTTAATATCCGATTGACAGACTTTAAATTTATACACAGTGTTTAAGGTCATGAGACAAAGAAGTCTATTCATTTTCAGTGATTTTCGATAATTACTGCCAGAGTTATGGCCCTTGATCACTTCAAAAAATCTTGCGGATGCTCTAGAGGCTAAAGTTAATATCCGATTGACACAGTGTTTGAGGTCATGAGACGAAGAATCCTATTGATTTTCAACGATTTCTGATTACTGCCAAAGTTATGGCCCTTGATCACTTTGAAAAATCTTGTGACGCTCTTGAGGCTAAAGTTATCATCCGATTGACTTCAGATTGATACAGAGTTTAAGGTCTTGAGACAAACAAGTATATTGATTTTCAATGAATTTTTATAACTTGAACATCTAAATCCATGATATTAAAAGCTTCGTATACTAAACGTTAGCATGGGGCAGAACTTTATAAAAACCAAACAAATTCTAATGGTTTTCTGATAATTACTTCATGAGTTGTTACTCTAAATCAGATTTTAGTGTATTATAAATGTTTCATTACCAAAAAAAGTAAAAATATGCGACAACACTTGTTGACTGCCCGGACGATTTAGCTGCTGTGGGTGTATGTTTCGTTGCCTGGCAACCTATCTTTATATATTAGATATATCAAAATTCAGAAAATTTCAGAGATTTCTCTTTGTTGACATTCAAATTTATAAAATCTTGTTAACTCAATAACAAGTTCTTGATAAAATATTTTAGAACTTGGTCGCTATTGAATTTGCAAAATTTTAGATTATAAATTTTGACCGCATTTTGCAGAAATATCTTTCGCGTCACATTTTGTGTTAGATTTCAAATTATGTGAACACAATGCAGTACAAAATTCTCAAAGGGATCTTTACTACGACATAAAGTAAAGGATAGATCCTAGACAGTGTTGTCAATGGAATTTTTCAAACTTCATTTGTATTCTTTTTAAAACTTGCTCAGGAAAATTTAATTTTAGAGGTATTGCCAACTTTGCTCCAGGTTTGCTTATAAGAGAGCCTGACCAGCCTATGTTTTGTGTATCAGTATCTTGGTATAGTTTCTTTTGGATGTCAGTGTAGTTGTTAACATGTAATGTACATAGCAAACAGCTAATGGGAGATCATATTGTTCAATAATTTGAAAGTTGACTCTTTATTTTACTTCTTTAGGTTTGAAATGAGCGAAAGATTAAAAGAAGAAGCAGTACAGACTAAAAATGAACTACAGAAAAGATTACAAGCTGAGGAAAAAAGAAGCGAAGAAATAGAGAAAACTCTACGTGAAGCACAAGATCAGTTATTATTACATGCCAGTAAACCATTATCACCAGAGGTTTGTAGATTTTGAAAGAACCATATGTAGAGAAAACTTTTTGCAGCGTCATTTAACACCTTTTTATCAATGACACTCTTAGATAGGTCTGTTGCCGGCTTACTGTGTTATCATCTGGAAAATGTCTACATACCAGAATGTGTGATTATATATATTATATTATTGTAGGTGAGATTACAGATAGAAGAAGATGAAAATGAGTCTAGAATAAGAGAATATAATCCTATGTTGAGTAAGTTTAAAGAGATCTAGAAAAAAATTACTGATATGATAAAATGGTTAAAAGAAATTTAATTAAAATTTATGAGGAATGATGAACAAAATTTTCCATCTGTAACAGCACATTATTCTTCAGTTTCTACAAGGGTTACTGTGCTTTGCATGATGTCATGAAATTTGGATTTTATTTCTTGTGGGTGTCACACTTGCAAATGAACATTTGCAGAGTGAATTTAAGTAGCCCTCTCACACATGGTGTATATATACCTTGATGTGATGTACTGATAGTATTATGAATATAGTAGGCCTACAATATTTAATTTATTGAAATATTTCAGCACGTCATGGTATGGGATATTGTCGTAGATTACAAAGATGGATGAAAGTTAAAAAGTATGTATTAACCTATTTGCATTCATTTATAATTTATAAGTAAAATGTTGTTTTAAGAATAATTACTTTCAAAGAATTATGTTCGGTATAATGACAATTGATGAGTAAAATACTGTTTTGAGAGTAATCACTACTATCAAAGGATTATATTAGCTACCCGATAGGTAGAATGACATAATTTTGTTTGAAATATATTATTATGTAAGTTGGTTTGTAAATTATGCATCTGTAAGTATGAATATTGCTGTTTTAATTTTTTCTATTTAAATGTTCTGCTTTATATATTAGCTAAATCCATGCTTTCTTAAACTAGCTAGCAATGTACCAATATAAATAGCTAATCACTTATCTATGTTTCAATGCGTTACAGATTTTTCAAGATTTTATTTTTTTATCTTCATGACATTGAAAAAATTTAATGATTATATTCAGTATCTGATATTATTTTACATTCATATCTTGAAAAAGACTAATATCTTGAAAAATCAATGATTTTGCAGTCTTGTATTCTGCATCTGTGAATAACATGGCCAATGTAAAATATATAGATATTTAAAAAAATAAATTTTGTAATTTTATTAATATTTCTTCATATTAAACAGTATTAAAGAAAATAGTTTTTTAAATATTTATTCACAGATTTCGATGGATTTAGATAATATTATTAATAAACAACCACTGTAAATATAACTATAATTACCGTAATGCTAAACTTCAGACACGATGTTTGAAAATTTGATTATGAAATCACACAGTGAAAGATTCCAATGAATATTTCTCGTAACGAAGTGTTAAAACTCATTATGCATTCTATTTCTATATGTAAATAAGGAAATAATGTTTTGTTTTTGTCTAGTCGTTAAGCTGATACGAATATTGGAAAATAGAGATATAGTTTTGGAAGTAAAGAAAATTTTATTTTAAGACATTTTAACCTTTTAAATTGACAATAAAGTTTATGTCTATTGGAATATATAGCTTTCATTAATCAGCCTTTAGACATAATTATTTACTCAGAAATTCTTACAGTTTAGGCTTTGTTATATAAAACACATTCAAGTGATACACCTTATTTACCCTTCGATATCGTTAAATATGAACAAAGGCTATTTTGCAAGCCAACTAATTTAAGCCAACTTATTTACCCTATTTTGCAAGCCAACTAATTTAAGATTGACTTGGGCTTTTCAAACATACATTTGGGAACTTGCCGGTAGTATTCAAATAATATAGTAAGCTGTAAATGGTCAAAATTTGATATGATTATACATTATGTAAAGACTGAACTTGATTTGAGTTGGATTAATAACTATATTTGAAAGTCAGCTATTCTCTAACTTTCCAATATAAAGGTATTATAATTATTATATGTTTATTATTATTAACACTGCTTTTGTTCTGTCCTCTATCTTATCACTCACTGCATGGTATTAGGTTTATCATATAGTCGTTTGTATAATTCTTTCTTCAGGCAATACTTCTCATTTTCCAGCCGACAGCTTACCAGAATTATGCGGTTCAGACCAGGTATACGCAAGTGTTTGTGGGCCTATTTTGTTCTCGTACATATCCTCATAGTAGCATGCTTTACTGGTTTTATATAAAGTTATAGAAGAATATGTGGTACCCTGTGTGATGTGCTAAAATAATAGACGAGGCCTGGTGAAGATGTGGAAATAGCTTTGATAATTAAACTCCAATTACATTGTGATAGAAATTTCTTTTCTACATATTTAATGTGTTGCCAGTGTGGTCAGATATGTTAGCTGGACAAAATTAATTGTATCAGAGAATCTTGTTCATTATTATTGTGAAATGAAGTAATTTTTTTTGTGGAAAAAATGATTGCATTCTTAAAATAAATAAAAGAATGTAGATTGTTATATTTATGTTAGTGATTATGTAAAACAATTGTATTGTGTCATCAGTTGAATGAAATGACTTCGATATGTTTTGATTTGGGCTTACAGGAGCACATGTAGATAACACAAAATAATTCCATTAGCAAAATAATACTTTCTATCAGTTAAAAAAAAATTTGACGTGATAGATTACAAATTTTATCCTAATGTGTTTCTCTAATGTACATGTATGATTGTTTTTTAATGATGTGTATATGATAGATTTTATTGTAATTTAAAATTTATTTTAACCAAGTAAAAATTTATGAAATATAGATGTAATATATTTGATTATCTGTGTTATTTGTAAACTTATTTGATTTATTTTTGTGGTGTTCTTTCATGTTTAGTTCATATCGAAGAGAATAATGTGGGATATTTCACTTCACAATTCTCACATTCCATGTTTAGATATATGTACATAATAATTACTGTAAGTATGCATAATAATTAAGATCCTATATTTATAAAACATAGTTTAAATATAATTGAACACTGGATACTAGTAGTTAAATATGTAAAATAACAATAATATATATATATCTGTATATTTTTTTTTTTCATATTATGTATGAATCAAAAATGCAATTAAGGTAAAAGGGATATGAATCTAGATATTTGTACTGAGCATTTAAAGGAGAGCTTGTTGGTATATTTTCATCCATACACTACTATTATGTGCTAATGTACATCTGAACAGCTTTATTTAAAGATTTTGTAGGTATACATGTAGCCTTGTGGCTTGTACACACAAATATCACAGCCTATTGTTATGTATATATGTGATAGAATGTGAAGCCTGCTTTGATTATACATATATAATTCATTCAGCTTTACTCTTAAAGATACATTATGGGAGATTAGATAACGAGTTGGCAGTTCTCACTATAATAGTTAAAAACTAGATAATGTAAAGGCAATTTGCTGAAAATTAATTGATCCACTATAAACCGTGAATTAAGCGATTAAAATTTCCGCCTAGCCTTGAACGTCATTACTAAAGTCAGTATGATAAACAGCATTGTCTCGATTATCCATTTAATCATTAAATCGTGAAGGAAAGTTATGCAGTAAATCAGCTCATAATCCACTAAAGATCGCAGGCTAGCGATGCCATCTAGATTTGATTATGGTCTGGATAGGTTAATTAATGTCTAATTAATAATTTAAATAACATTTCAGGCCTAAAGAAAGACCTGCAATAGACAGATTTAGCTCTTGCATAATGTATTTTTAAATAGTTGCCTGAATGTTTTGGTTGTTAATGAATATAATGTTATTGTATATAAAGAGGAATATTATTTTATCATAAATTAATGAAGGCTATGTATTAAATTCAATTATTAAAAATATGCAAACCAGAACATGGCATCATTTTATTGTCACTATTTTTACAATCTCTAATGAAAAGCATTTATAACACCTAATTAATTTGGAGGAAACCTATAAAAAATATATATATTTTCCATTTTAATTTGTCATGCTGGTATGGCTAAGCAACATCATTTAAACAAATCTGAAAAAAAAAATCAACCATTCCTATCAATTTGGGAGAAGTTTACATTTAATGGATAGAAGGTATGGCAAAACAGAACTATCAAATACTCAAAGGTATCTGACCCCCATCTGTGTAAAGCCTTCACAAATGAAACTTTAAATAATTTGGAGGGTTATTATTTTGGGGAATGCTGGGATTAAAGTGCATTTACTTTAATATATCTTCATAAATAAACAGTCTGTATTGGGCTCGATCAGTAATATGCAGAATGTTATTGGCTGACTATACCAAATAAAAAACCCTCCCTTGATATAAAAAAATTAAAAAAAATCTCCTGAAATACTTTGATTATCCAGACAGCTGAATGGCTTCCTAATCATGGCCAAAGGTACTAGTATATCAAACAAGAGCATGGTACCGCTGCAATATAGGTCCACATTCCTGGGGATCAGGTCGAATGGTTAGCACGTCCCTGCTGTATCATAAGGTCTGTCATTGAGCCAACTGGCATGGTTTTGAATCAACGGTTGTACGTGACAAGGAGTAGAGTAGCCTTGTGGGTTTTCTCCAGGTCCTCCAGTTTCCTCCCACTGCTAAAGACCTCTGGGGATCAGAGCATGCATGAAAATAAATAACTGCTATCTTTACGCAATAAGGAATAAATATGCAAAGTTCCAAGATAATCCATTCAGAATTGCAGCCTGTAGATGTTAAACAAGACAAAAATATGGATATGGATTAATATAAACCCCATTTCTCTCTCACTCTGTCCCAGGGAGTCGGGCATGCACCCAAAAATAATAGAGGTCACCTTTAGGGTATAAGGAATAAATAAAAAAAGGTTTCAAGAAAATCCATTAAGAATTGCGGCCTGTAGGCGAGACACAAAGAGAAAATGGGTGTGGCTCTGGACCTGGGGGTTGGGCATGCACCATGCACAATAGGCATGATCCTTAGGGTATAAGGCATAAGTATGCAAAGTTTCAAGAATTGTGGCCTATAGGTGACAAACAAGCCACATCCCTGCTTTGATTGATATGGTACTTTTTAAAATGAAGAGAATGAAATATGAAATGACTGTAATATGACAAGAGATAAAGAAGGCTAGGCGTTGGGTTTGTTTTGCCAAAATATTTTAACAAAAAAGTGAAACTGCCCCAGGGGTTGGGGCATGCACCAAAATAAATAGTTGCTGTGTTAATGGTATAAGGAATAAATATGCAAAGTTCCAAGATAATCCATTCAGAATTGCAGCTTGTAGACGATAAATACAAAAATTGGGCATGGCTCTGCCCCTGGGGGTTGGATATGGAACAATATAAATAGATACCACTCTGTTATTGAAATGATTGATATGCTGAATTTGAACAAAATCTGTTAATTATTGCAACCTGCAGAGTATTTATCGATAAAAACTAACAAAAAAGTGGATGTAGTACCACACCCCTGGGGGTCGGAAATGAAATGAAATGGGGTTTAACGTCCTACTGTTCTGCTCCTTACCTGGGCTAATGAAGACGGGCATACACCATACAGTGTGCTATGAGGGAAATTTGGCCCGGGCAGTGGCGCTACGGCCTACTCTTATATCGAATTCCAACTGCCAAGGGATCTTTTACGTGCATGCCAATTTGTACACGGGACCTCGGTTTTCTGTCCCATCCGAACCACTAGACAGCTGTCCTTGTCAGGCCCTCCTTCCTGCATCACTGACAAGGGGAAACCACTCCGGAAAATCTGGATGAACTTTCTCGGCAAATGCAGGGATCGAACACCCGACCTCCAGGCTAGCAAGCCAGCGTCTTACCCACTTAGCCACGTGATCCCCCCTGGGGGTCGGAACATGCACCAAAATAAATAGTTGCTATCCTTAAAGTATAAGGAATAAATATGCAAAGTTCCAAAATGATCCATTTAGAATTCCAGCCTGTAGACAAAAAACACAAAAATTGGGCGTGGCTCTGCCCCTGGGGGTTGGACATGGACCAATATATATAGGTACAACTCTATGCTGGATCATTCCGAATTGGATCCAAATCTGTTAATAATTGCAACCTGTATATAATTTACAAACAAAATATCAACAAAAGGTGGGTGTGGCCCCATCGAAAGGGCAGGGCGTAAAGGAGGGAGTCGTGCACCAACATCAATAGTTGCCATCTTTAGGGTATAAGGAATAAGTATACAAGTTCTAAGACAATCCATTCAAAATTGTGGCCTTCGGGCGCTAAAGGCAAAAATTGGGCGTGACTCTGCCCCTGGGGGTCGGGGCATTCACCAAAATCAATAGTTGCCACCCTTAGGCTATAAGGAATACATATGCTTGGTACCAGGTTCATCCATTCAGAATTGCAGCCTGTAAACAATAAACACAAAAATTGGGCGTGGCTCTACCCCTGGGGGTCGGGACATGCAGTTGTCGACCTTAGGCTATAAGGAATACATATCCCAAGTTCAAAAACGACCTATTAAGAATCGTGGCCTGTAGGTAACACACAAAGACCCAAAGAAAAATTGGTGTGGCTCTGCCCCTGGAGGTTGGGCAATCACCAAAAAACACTAGGGGCCATCCTTAGGGTATAAGGAATATGCAAAGTTCTAAAAGGATCCGTTAAGAATTGCGGCCTGTAGACGAAACACAAGACACACAAACATTTGGCTTGGCTCTGTCCCAGGGGCTCGGGCATGCACCAAAAATAATAGAGGTCAGCCTAAGGGTATAAGGAATAAGTATAAAAAAAAGTTTTCAAGACGATCAATTAAGAATTGAGGGCTGTAAGTGACACACAAACATACAAAAAGAAAATGGGCGTGGCTCTGTCCCTGGGGGTTGGGCATTCACCACAAACAAGAAGGAATAAGTATGCTAAGTTTCAAGGTGATATGTTAAGAAATGCTGTCTGTAGATGACAAACAAATAAATTCAAGAAATGTGCATGGCTTTGCCACTTGGGGTCAGGCATGCACCAAAAACAATAGGGATTATCCTTAATTCCAATATCGAAAGGAACCGAGATCTTAGGGTGATAAACCTATATTTCAAGTTTCATTGAAATTGAATAAAAATTGTGACCTGTAGAGTGTTCACAAACAATTGTGGACGGACGGACGTCCGAGGCGACGACAATATAACGATTTTCTTTTAACAGAGCTTGAGAATATAGTTATTTCTGGAGTGACTATCCAAAGGTAAAACAAATCAGAGGACTAAGATAGGAGTATTTTAATGTTTTTATTTTGTAAGCTTAACAGCTTCACATTATATTAATAACAATAAGCATTAAAATATACCATGAAAACAATATCACATTTAAACAATATAATATATTATCTTAACTTACATTACATACAATCTGCTAAGATTTCGTTCTTTACTAACACCTTCTTAAATTACTGAACCTTATCTATCACAACAACATTCAACTCATTGTTTTCAAGTATTTAAAGCATACATCATTATGCTCATAAACAATTACACTTGACAACATTAAAATTGTTAGTGTGACAAGATTATCTTAAACAAATACCAGTACTCAAATTTTGATAAACAGAAAATTTGGGTGAAAAATGAAAAAGAAGTCACTTCCTAAATGTATTAGACAACAATGTTAAAAGGATGACAAAAACATTTACACTAGGACAAAAAGAATGCTTCAAATTATTTTAGAAATAGTGAGTCACTTGTAGAAATACTATTTACATTTTTTATATTTTGAGCAGTTAACATACATAAATAATAATAATAATATATGAAAGACATATTTGTGACAGTTTGATAAAATTTACTCAACAGTTCATCAACTGACAACAAGCTTGGTTGATAAACTGAGGATATTATGATCTTTAGAGGGTAATCAACTTGTAACAAGCCAACAGTGAGGCTGATGTCCCCCGCCGAAATCCCAAAATAAATAGATGACACATATTAATTAATCGCACATTTATTTTTTTCAAAAGTATCGAGCAATCTAACTACACACTAAGTTTCATCACTCTCTATCAGATAGAATCAAGATTAACTTGTCCCAAAGCATCGATGAATGAAATTGATTAGCTCTGCTTAGCTTCAGCTTGAAATGTTAATCATTGAAATCAGTCAAGACATTCACTTAATGAACATCAACATCAAGTTTAAAAACATTCTACCTCATTTAAAAGCAGAGTTGTTATGTTCCAAAGTCTTGACTAATCAAATTGCTTATCGATCCTTAGCCTAAGTAAAAAATTTTCATCATCAGATATAGTCAAAGTAATGATATGATGAATCTATACTCGGAATTTCATCACTCTCACTTAATTAAAACTAAAGTTATTGGCCCCAAAGCATCAACCAATCAGATTGCTTATCTCTGCTTACCATAAGCAGACAATGTTTATCATCGAACTCCATCAAGGCATTCATCTAAAGAACGCCTACACCAAGTTTGAACATTCCCCCTCAACTAGAAGGAGAGTTATTGTGTTCCAAAGTCTCAAAAAATGTTCATTATCGAACTTAGTCAAGGTATTGATGTGATAAAGCTATACACCAAGTGTCCTCACTCTCACTGAATTAGAACTAAAGTTATCGTGTCCCAAAGCATCAACCAATCAAATTGCTTATCTCTGCTTACCCTAAGCAGAAAATTCTTATCTTCTAACACTGAACTCAATCAAGGCATTCACCTAATAAACACCTACACCAAGTTTAAACATTCGACCTCAATTAGAAGGAGAGTTATTGTGTTCCAAAGTCTCGACCAATCAAATTGCTTATCGCTCTGCTTACCCTAAGCAGAAAATGCTTATTATGGAACTTAATCAAGGTAATGATGTGATAAAACTATACACCAAGTGTCTTCACTCTCACTTAATTAGAACTAAAGTTATCGTGTCCCAAAGCATCAACCAATCAAATTGCTCATCTCTGCTTACCCTAAGCAGAAAATTCTTATCTTCTAACTCTGAACTCAATCAAGGCATTCACCTATTAAACACCTACGCCAAGTGTGAACATTCTAACTCAATTAAAATGAGAGTTATTGTGTTCCAAAGTCTCGACTAATCAAATTGCTTATCGCTCTGCTTACCCTGAGCAGAAAATGGTCATTATCGAACTTAGTCATGGTATTGATGTAATGAAACTATACACCAAGTTTCATCACTCTCACATAATTAGAACTAAAGTTATCGTGTCCAAAAGCATCAACCAATCAAATTGCTTATCTCTGCTTACCCTAAGCAGAAAATGCTCATCTTCGAACTCCATCAAGGTATTGACCTAATAAACACCTACACCAAGTTTGAAAATTCTAGCTCAATTAGAAGGAGAGGTATTGTGTCCCAAAAAGTGTGACGGACAGACAGACGAGCGGAAACACAATGGGCGGAAAGACAGACAGAAAGAGGGACGGACAAACCCACTTTAATAGTCCCCTGCTTTCTTCGAAAGGCGGGGACAAAAAACCAACTTAATTAGGTCACCATTTACATTTGATAAAACCGAATAAAATATTTAACAAGCCAACAGTGAGGCTGATGTCCCCTGCTGAAATCCCAAAATAAATAGTTGACACATATTAATTAATCGCACATTTATAATATTTTTTTCGAAAGTATCAAGCAATCAAATTATACACTAAGTTTCATCCCTCTCTATCAGATAGAATCAAGATTATCTTGTCCCAAAGCATCAACCAATGAAATTGATTAGCTCGGCTTAGCTTTAGCTTGAAATGTTAATCATTGAAATCAGTCAAGACATTCACCTAATGAACATCTACATCAAGTCTAAACATTCTACCTCAATTAAAAGAGTTGTTATGTTCCAAAGTCTTGACCAATTAAATTGCTTATCGCTCATTAGCCTAAGCAGAAAATTCTCACCATCGAAATTAGTCAAGGTAATGATATAATGAATCTATATTCTGAGTACCATCGCTCTCACTTCATTATAAACAAAGTTATCGTGCCTCAAAGCATCAACCAATCAGATTGCTTATTTCTGCTTACCGTAAGCAGATAATCTTCATCATAGAACTCCACCAAGGCATTCACCTAATGAACGCCTACACCAAGTTTAAACATTCTACCTCAATTAGAAGGAGAGTTATTGTGTTCCAATGTCTTGACCAATCAAATTGCTTATCGCTCTGCTTAACCTCAGCAGAAAATATTCATAATCAAACTTTAAAGTCAAGGTATTGATGTAATAAAGCTATACTCCAAGTGTCCTCATTCTAACTTAATTAAAGTTATTGTGTCTCATGTATATCAACCAATCAAATTGCTTATCTCTGCTTACCCTAAGCCAAAAATTCTCATCTTCGAAGAGAGTATTGTGTCCCAAAAAGTGTGATGGACAGACTGACGGACAAGACAGACAGACAGACGGACGAACCCATTTGAATAGTCCCCTGCTTTCTTTGAAACAAAATGAAATGAAATGGGTTTAACGTCCTACTGTTCTGCTTCTATACTGGGCTAATGAAGACGGGCATACGCCATACAGTGTGCTATGAGGGAAATTTTGCCCGGGCAGCGGCACTATCGCCTACTCTTATATCAAAATCCAACTGCCAAGAGATCTTTCATGTGCATTCCAATGTATACACGGGACCTCGGTTTTTCGTCTCATCCGAAGGACTAGGCAGCTGTCTTTGTCAGGGCTTCTTCGAAAGGCGGGGGACAATAACAATGTTACAAATAGCAGGGTGTTTTTATTTGGATCTAATTTTTATTTAATTCTTCTCATCAAATTCTATTTCTCAGTTAATAAGGTCATTGTAATGCTATAAGGATTTGATCTTAAAAATGGGCACTGAATATATGCTCGCCAACAGCTGTTTGAACAAAGACAAAAAAATGTCCTGTTGTGATGTATAGATAACCTAATATAAACTTGAATAGATTACCTGGTTTCGGTGATCAGGGCAATAACTCTGCTGACTGCTTTAAATGATTAAGCCACAATGAATTTTAAAACTTCTCTTTACGACATGTGGAATAATCTCAGCAAGTCCCTACTAACCTCATACACTAGGGCAATAACTATGTAAAATCAATTTGCAACCTTAACAAAGAGACATTTAAATGAAATTTTGTAAATGCACAGACCGGTGACAAAAATATAAATCCACTTTAAGAGTAGGCGTATAAAAAATCACATGACTTGTTCACTAGAAAGAGAACATAATGTATTGAAATGAGCTAAGAAGAGACATTTAATAAAACCCTTGTTTCAGCAACAGAAGTACTGATTATGGTCACAGATTAGCAGCTGATTCTAGAGGATCCATAGTACTATCACCTGTTAAAAAAAAAGAGAGACATATGTCACTTAATTATTCCCTAGCCTTTGACGCTTTCTTTCAAAACATATTTGCTTCTTTGTATTCAGTTTTGTTTTTGTGATGGATGGAACATGTACCCTATATGTATTGAATACTGAAGCGTTTCTTGATTGAATTTAGAGTTTAGACTACTTTTTTATACATTTCACTGATGTGGTTACTTGTATAGTTGATTTTTACTACATATGCTTACATTCGTATTTCGTGTAGCATATAGCAGATCATGACTCATGCTGGCATTGCACAATGGGTTCTTTGGGTTGTATTCCTAATTGTTTTCAAATTTGAGTGAAGTCTGTGTCACTATAGACCCAGGACTGTACAGCGCAGTGGAGCTTACGACCAGCCCCGGATCCATTCACTTTTTTTGAATTGTCTGTATGTTTGTGTTTTCCTGAGTATGATGTCCTGTCCGTGTATTTGTTTTTGTGTAAATTTTGTGTGGTGCAGTCCCCCTGCACTTACTATTAAGTGTATATCATATGAATGAGAAAGCGAAATGAAATGAAATGGGGTTTAACGTCCTACTGTTCTGCTCCGAACTGGGCTAATGAAGACGGGCATACGCCATACAGTGTGCTATGAGGGAAATTTTGCCCGGACAGCGGCACTACGGTCTACTCTTATATCGAATTCCAACTGTCAAGGGATCTTTTACGCGCACACCAATGTGTACACGGGACCTCGGGTTTTCGTCCCATCCGAACGACTAGAGAGCTGTCCTTGTTAGGCCCTCCGTCCTGCATCACTGACAAGGGGGAACCACGCCGGAAAATCTGGGTGAACTTTCTCGGCCAATGCAGAATGAGAAAGCATACCAAATTCATAGTGTATAAAGGCCTTACACGAGTTTGTGTTGAAAATTACAGTTTGTGTTGTGTTTATTGCACACCCTCTTAGGTTTACCCAGAGCATGGGGAGAAGAAACAAGGTATCACTTTTACATGGCCTTAGTAAGGCTAGCAGCTACACTATTCTATATTATAATTCATGTTACCAATCAAATTGAGTCCAGATAAAGCAGACTATTCATGTTTGAGATACCTATCTCTAATCACTTTACAGTTATCATTTACATATAAAATTACCTTAAGACCCCTTGTTAATTAATAGGGAAAAGCAATCCAGGTTCAGTATAAAATATCTAGAATATCTGTAAACTGCAGATACTGGGACAATCCCAACAACATTACAATATTATATGGAAAGACTTACATGTACAGTCATAAGTTCCTATTACCATTGAGGTATCATTTAAATCATCTGTTTTTGATTGTAATGGCTCATCTTCTTCCATTATATGTGAACAGGTTTCATCTACTATATGTAGTGGTGGTTCTGTAGAACCTAGAGCAGATTCTACATGAGATGTATCCATAACAGTATGATCTGTATCTTCAACCATTGTATTACTCATTGTACTACCCACCACTAAATCACCATTCTGATAAATCAAAAAAATATGTTCTTACAAATGATAAAGTCATCTTTATCATCTTTCCTATTCCCAGACTGTCTTTAAAGGACAAATGAGGATGTTCATGTGGAAAAGCTTTAATAGGTTTCTGATTTAAACACATCCACCGCAGCTAAGTCTGCCAAGCAGTCAGCCTAACAAAATCTTTATATGATATATCATTGCTAACGTTTAATAGCCTTCTTTGTTTCACTAATTTGTATAATGCACATAAATCTCATACAGACTGGATGATAACTTTTATCATTAGAGTGTTAAAATCCCATTTATCACTAAAGGTACGGGCTATTTATTATTTGATAATTGCTACATTATATTTCCTAAATTATGATTTAGATCAGTATTCAATTTGAACATGGACTGTTCCACTGAAAGTCAAGAGTATCTGAGAATTATATTTCAAACTTACTGGAATCGTTTCATTTATCACAAGGAGGAACCATAATTGTAATTCTGTGTTGACTATCAGTTTCTTATGGAGCTATTGCCCCAGTCAAAACATTCTTGCCAACGCGCTTTGGGAGATATAATTACCAAGAAAATAAGGACTATTATATTAATATAATACCATGGTACCTACTTGTAAAAGACTTCCAGCAGGAAACATTCCCGGATGTAAACGTGATAATAATTGAGCAGTTTCTGGTGTAATAGTGTTACTAACATGAGTTGTACCATCACTTAAATGTGTTTCTATTCTTGATATAACATGGTGACCATCTGAAATAGACCAGCAAAATAATAACACTAATAATACATTGTGAGTTAGGAAAAGTAAAACCATTAATATTCCAAGCAAAGATCGCAAAAAAAAAAACTCAATAGAAAACTAATTACCGTACTATACCCTAGTATATACAGCTAATGTAAACGAAGAGCCATTAATGTTCTTTTTGTAACATCAGCCAACAGTTTAAATTATTCTTTCTAGACAGCCTTTGATACAGTTGAACTTACAGAAGCAGTTCATGTTGTAATGGTTATATAAATTTCAAGAATTTACAAGAATGTGAATACAAGAAGATTAAATCAAAATAAACAAGAAAGGAAATCAACATTTTGAGGTCCGTTTAAAAGTATTACCATCTCCTGCATTTTGTGTTAATGTAACAGTTACAGTTTCTGGTATAGGTGTACCACTAACTCTAGGCCAGACAATTGGTTCTCCAGCACCAAGTGTATCCGAATTAGGTGGTGGTAAAGCGCTAGCTTCTGTATTTGTTATAATCTCTACATTTACCTACAATATAAAAACATCTCATTAGCTTTTCTTAGTTTTCTATTATCTTTAAAGCAGCATTCCTTGAAGGGGTGCAGTATGCTATGACAGAAATTTTGACTGGACAGCATTGCTACAAACAGCTCTTATTTCAGAAGTCAAGGGTTCTTGTAAGTGCACATTAATGTGTACACTGACAAGGGGGAACCACACTGGAAACTACAATGCACTTTCTTGGCCAACACTGGGATCTCCAGGTTATCAAGCTAACGTCTTACTAAGCCACCACTCAGATTAAAATTAAATATTTCAGTTTCATTTTAAACTATATAAGGGATACAAAATGACCTCATTTTCTGCGCATGATTGGCTGCTGATTACCCAAATATTGGTAGATGGTATGTTGTTCTATCAATCAGCATCATAATTATGTAAATCAACTAAAGATAATTTGATCATGACCAGATACATACTTAAAATCTAGCTTTTAGAATCCTGAGAGATCTCCATGACCAAGTAAATTTAGTAATCAAGAGGAAAATAACTTACAGTAGTGGCAGTGAGAGCCAGTGTCCCATTTTCAATGTCTTTAAGAGCTTGATGTATGTGGTTTTTGATGTTATTAACAGTAGGAAATAATGTCCAGTCATGTCTTTCTGGCATATCTGTACCAGGATACATATCTTTCGTTACATAACATCTGCAAAATATTGATGAACACCTAAATAAAACTCTCAACAATGTACCTTTAAATTATAAGCAGATGAATAACAATAGTAAGAAAGTATGAAAGGCTTCTGTTAAAGGGCCATAGCTCTGCAATTACTTTTTAGACAAAAACAGATTTTAACAGGCTTATTACTTACAAGTAGCCAAACAGCGCTATTGGACCATGCAAAAGATAAAGTTAACCAACAGAGGTGACAACAGAGTATGACAACAGTATTTTGTGTGTGCATGAATATTACTCAACTGTAGCTTGAAGGAAAGGAGAATTTTTAATCACTTCACTAATATCATTTTTAAATGTTTATATAATAAAAAGATGAAAGTATTTAATTACCGGAGTTGTTTTCTAATTGTATACACACCAGTCTCTCCTGCAGCTACTAGTTCTCGTATTTTAATAGCTAATTTAGGATGAATATTAGAATCTGACAAGCCTGATTGGGGTATTTCTTCTTCTTCTTCAGGGAAAGTATCAACAGTTTTACTAGGTGCTGTTGTTAATAGGGAACCAACCGATCCTTCATCATGAAACTGGTGAGCCTTTTCTGTTGGTAATTGCACATAATGTCTGAAATATATTTTAGAATAAGTAGGTGCCTAAATTTCTAGAGAATTTGCAGAAGATATTGCATAGTGGTTCATTATTAAAACCATCTGATTCATTTGCACCCATAAGCATATTTTCAGTACTATAAAAAATAATTTAACAAATAATTAGAATTAACAAAATTACCAACCTTTCTTGACCTAGACCATCTATTCCTCTCTGTTTTAATTCTTGAAATGCTCTATCCATTGCAGCTTTCAAAGACTTCTTATCAAGATACAGAAAATCGACAGCAAATTCTGGAAATTTTCTGACCTTTTTTACGTATATTCTATAATAAAAATACAGTACTAGGTATGTTTTTACTTTATTACTACATAACTGATATTTATGAGGAATATTTCATTTTTAACTATTAAAATCTCTAACACTAATGATGGATATCTACAATTGATATTGTATGGATGAATCTCTTGCTTTAATGATTTCTATTTTAACAATACCATATTACAAAAGGGATTGCTCAAAAACAAGTAAATGAAATCAGAGACGACCCCATTCATTAACCAAGTACATGTAATTGATTATTACCTAGCTGGACATGTTTGCTTAAATTTTCTTGTATCTGGGTCTCCTTTAGATTTACAATTTCCCTTTCTTCTAGGACCATACTGACATTCTTGAACAACAGCTCTGCTACCTGAAATAAGAAATATTGTCAACTGGAATACTACACTAAAATCCTATTGATCTATATATTTCATGAAAAACAAACAACATCATATCAGACAAGATATAAAAATTACATCAGTAATAATATTACAATTTATATCATATAAATAATGTAATGGGTCATTGCACTCTGAAACGATACCAATCTGATTAAAATACAGATCTATATTTCGTTTCATTTTTTTATACTTTCGATGACCTTCACTACATGAAGATCTGACAAGTTGTACTAGAAGGTCGTGTCAGGGGTTGTACAAATGGCTTTTGACCCTATGATGTCATACATTGATTAATCAATCAGCACTGACGTTTCTAGTGGTTTACCCACAGTTCGGTGGATGTCACGCTTAGAAGTCGCCGTAAGAGAACAGTTTCATTGACTAATCCCACATTTCAACCAAAACGCCAGTAATATAACAACTCTTCCAGATCCTAGTGTAGTAAAGACAAAATTTTGAACTATAAAAAACGAAATGAAATAGGATCTTTGTTTTAATCAGACTGAAACGATACCTAATTAAACTTTTGTTAAAGCCTGTATAAATTTTTTAAGAATTGTGAGAAACTAAACTACTTTGAACGTGTTTTTTCATTTATTAATGATTGCTAAGCTATTATATACTAAGCAGCGTCTGAATAGACGCATTGCATAAACTTGCCAAATGTTTTTATTGCCCCCCACCTTTCGAAGAAAGCTGGGGACTATTAAAATGGATTCGTCCGTCTGTCTGTCACACTTTTTGGGACACAATAACTCTCTTTCTAATTGAGCTAGAATGTTCAAACTTGGTGTAGATGTTAATTAGGTCAATGCCTTGATGGAGTTCGACGATGAGCATTTTTTGCTTAGGGTAAGCAGAGATAATCAATTTGATTGGTTGATGCTTTGGGACACGATAACTTTAGTTCTAATTAAGTGAGATAAAAATACATTGTGGGAGATTAGATAACGAGTGGGCATAAACTTGCCAAATGTTTTTATTGCCCCCCACCTTTCGAAGAAAGCTGGGGACTATTAAAATGGATTCGTCCGTCTGTCTGTCACACTTTTTGGGACACAATAACTCTCTTTCTAATTGAGCTAGAATGTTCAAACTTGGTGTAGATGTTAATTAGGTCAATGCCTTGATGGAGTTCGACGATGAGCATTTTTTGCTTAGGGTAAGCAGAGATAATCAATTTGATTGGTTGATGCTTTGGGACACGATAACTTTAGTTCTAATTAAGTGAGATAAAAATACATTGTGGGAGATTAGATAACGAGTGGGCAGTTCTCACTATAATAGTTAACCAGCGGCTGCCAGGCAGGATACGCCCACATTTTGCAAGAGATGGATAGAGAACAAACTAAAAACAAACAGGATTTTTTGTACAATCAGGGGCAATAATCTCGAAAGTTATGGTCTGAAATGCGCAAATATCAAAAGGGACTGAGATCTTTGGGATATATTGATTTAAGTTTCATCAGAATCGGACAAAAATTGTGACCCCTACTTTTACACAATTTGCGAACAAAGAGTGGGCATTTTGTTGGGCAGTTTCATTTCGATTTTCCCGAAATCTGAATTTAACCTTCATTATGGTGGAATGGTGAAATATTTAAAATCTGAAAAAAAAAAATGTGACCTCTAGAGAATCCGCAAGCTAAAAATGCCAATATTCGAACAATCAGGGGCTATAATCCAGGAAGTTAAGTTCGGGTATCCGCGATTATCAAAAGGATCCATGATCTTAGCATGTAATGGTGATATATTTACACATGTTTTTTAAATCAGATAAAATACAAGGACCACAAGCTAAAAACGTGATTTTTAGTACAATCAAGGGCTATAATTCAGGAAGTTACTATCCGATATGCCGAATATCGAAAGGAACCAAGATCTTTGGGTTATTAACTTCAGGCCTCGACATAAGAGGAGATCGAACCGGTCGATCGCCTGCCGATCACCAAAATGTAAACAAGGGGGATCAAAATTTCGATCACGATATGAACAGCAGACGAACGGATAGTGACGAATAGTTCACCTTATTTTACATCAATTCCTGTGTTATTCAAAACAAAATTCAGCATTCAATTTTCGTGTACGCAAGATTGAAAGTAATTAACCAAATCGTGTTCGATCCATAGATATCTATAGTATAAAAATTCATGGTTCGGTCTCAATCAGGTTTTTCTGCAAGAACTACGAGCTTCGCGGAGAGCCGAAGTCAGAGTGATCCGTAAGTGCATCGTGGAAATTTATTCCGTCATATCAAGGCAGGTGGACTGCACAATTGGTGATTATTTTAGGAGATCAATTGATCTCCTTGTGTCTTGAGGCGATCATAAAACTGATCACCTCATTTAAAAACCAGGAGAACGATTCGTTGATCCCCTTATTTAACCTTATGTCAAGGCCTGTAACTTACATTTCATAAAAATCAAAAGAAAATTGTGACCTCTAGAGGGTCCACAACATTGATATACCATATTTTTACACTATTTGAGTACTAGGGGCGGCCATTTTGTCTGTCAGTTTTGGGCCGATTTTCACGAAATTCCAACTCAGCCGTCCTTAGGGTGTAACGGTGATATAATAATACGGTTTTTCAAATCGGATAAAAATTATTACCTCTATAGGGTCCACAAGCTAAAAACGCGATTTTTCGTACAATCAGGGACCATAATTCAGGAAGTTACTGTCCGATATGCGCAAATATCGAAAGCAATCAAGATCTTTGGGTTATAAACTTACATTTCAAGTTTCATCAAAATAGGATTAAAATTGTGACCTCTATAGGGTCCACAACCTTGATATACCATATTTTTACGCTATTTGAGAACGAACGGCGACCATTTTGTCTGTAAGTTTTGGGCCGATTTTCACGAAATTCGAAATGAAATGAAATGGGGTTTAACGTCCTACTGTTCTGCTCCTAACCTGGGCTAATGAAGACGGGCATACGCCCATACAGTGTGCTATGAGGGAAATTTTGCCCGGACAGCGGCACTACAGCCTACTCTTATATCGAATACCAACTGCCAAGGGATCTTTTACGTGCACGCCAATGTGTACACGGGACCTCGGTTTTTCGTCCCATCCGAACGACTAGACACACGAAATAATACGGTTTTTTAAATCGGATAAAAATTATGACCTCTATAGGGTCCACAAGCTAAAAACACGATTTTACGTACAATCTGGGGCCATAATTCAGAAAGTTACGATCCGATATGCGCGAATAATTGATCCACTATGAACTGTGAATTAAGCGATTGAAATTTCCGCCTAGCCTTGAACAACATTACTAAAGTCAGTACGATAAACAGCATAGTCTCGATTATCCATTTAATCATTAAATCGTGAAGGAAAATTATGCAGTAAATTGGCTCATAATCGACTAAAGATCGCAGGCTAGCAATGCCATTGAGAGTTGATTATGGTCTGGATAGGTTAATTAATGTCTTATTAATAATTTAGATAACATTTCAGGCCTAAAGAAAGACCAGCAATAGACAGATTTAGCTCTTGCATAATGTATGTTTAATTAGAGTGATGGAACTTGGTGTATACTTTCATTACATCAATACCTTGGCTAAGTTTGATGATGACCATTTTCTGCTCAGTGTAAGCAGTGTAATAAGCAATTTGATTGGCCGAGACTTTGGAATACAATAACTTTCCTTCTAATTGAGCTAGAATATTCAAACTTGGTGTAGGTATTTATTAGGTCAATGCCTTGATGGAGTTCGAAGATGAGTATTTTCTGCTTAGGGTAATTTGATTGGTTGATGCTTTGGGACACGATAACTTTAGTTCTAACAAGCCAACAGTGAGGCTGATGTCCCCTGCCGAAATCCCCAAATAAATAGATGACATATATTAATTAATCGCACATCTATTTTTTTCAAAAGTATCGAGCAATCAAACTGATTAACAACTATACACTAAGTTTCATCACTCTCTATCAGATAGAATTAAAGTTATCTTGTCCCAAAGCATCGGCCAAGGAAATTGCTAATCTCTGCTTAGCTTTAGCGCGATATGTTAATCATTGAACTTGGTCAAGACGAACATCAACATCAAGTTTAAACATTCTACCTAAATTAGAAGCAAAGTTGTTATGTTCCAAAGTCTTGACCAATCAAAATGCTTATTGCTCCTTAGTCTAAGCAGACAATTCTCATCATCAAACTTAGTCAAGGTATTGATGTAATGAAACTATACACCAAGTTCCATCACTCTCACTTAATTAGAACTAAAGTTATCATGTCCCAAAACATCACCAATCAAATTGCTTATCTCTACTTACCATAAGCAGAAAATGCTCATCTTCGCACTCTATCAAGACATTGACCTCATAAACACCTACACCAAGTTTGAACATTCTAGCTCAATTAGAAGGAGAGTAATTGTGTTCCAAAGTCTCGGCCAATCAAATTGCTTATTGTTCTGCTTACCCTGAGCAGAAAATGCTCAATATCGAACTTAGTCAAGGTATTGATGTAATGAATCTATACACCAAGTTTCATCACTCTCACTTAATTGGAACTAAAGTTATCGTGTCCCAAAGCATCAACCAATCAAATTGCTTATCTCTACTTACCCTAAGCAGAAAATGCTCATCTTCATACTCCATCAAGGCATTGACCTAATAAACACCTACGCTAAGTTTGAACATTTTACCTCAATTAGAAGGAGAGTTATTGTGTTCCAAAGTCTCGGCCAATCAAATTGCTTATCGCTCTGCTTACCCTGAGCAGAAAATGCTCATTATCGAACTTAGTCAAGGTATTGATGTAATGAAACTATACACCAAGTTTCATCACTCTCACTTAATTAGAACTAAAGTTATCGCGTCCCAAATCATCAACCAATCAAATCGCTTATCTCTGCTTACCCTAAGCAGAAAATGCCCATCTTCGAACTCCATCAAGACATTGACCTAATAAACACCTACACCAAGTTTGAACATTCTAGGTCAATT